AATTGTGTGATTCCATGTCTAATGTCCACTGAACTGTAAGGAGACCTTTAATCTGATTTCTGTTCTGGATATGTTTAGGACATGGGCGACTTCAACATAGCCACCTCCTCGCTGCACGCACTCAGCACATCCTCAACGGTGGCGGCCGAGAAGCACAGTCCGCACACATCGCCCCGTTTGGGGCGGCGGAGCACCACGCCCAGCTTGATGGCCGTGCAGAACGATCTCTATGCGGGTGGGACGCCCACCCTCAGCCTGCCCAGCAGCTCCTGCTCCTCCATTGCCGCCGCCTCCACGTCCTCCTCCTCCTCTTCAGCATCAGTGGCAACAGTGGCAGCACTATCATCATCATCAGCATCATCATCATCCTCCTCCCAGCACCAGCAGCCCCAGCCCTCGGCACCACCAGCTTCAGCGGTCCTCAGCAATGGAGGCGGCGGTATTAGCACCAGCCAGAAGAACACCAACCGGATGAGTGCTCCGCTTATCGGGTCCTGTGTGGCCAACTCCACCTATGGCCAGAAGTTGCCCCAGAGCTCCAGCCACAACAACAGCAGCACAACCAGCGACAATGCCTCCAGCTCGAGTTCATATGCCATCTTGCAGAACCTCCACGATCCGGGTACACCCGGACCAACAGCGGCGTCAGTGGCGGTGGCTCCCCCACTGCCGCCCAGGAAATCGTCGCCTGGCGTGGAGACGCCCAGCAAGGCCACGGCACCACCACCGCCCAGCAGCAGCAAGAGCATCGACAACATCCAGTGCAGCTTGGACAATGTGCCGCCCCAGACGACGGCGCCGCCGATTCCGCCGCACGTCTCGCCCTGCGTGGACACCTTGGCCGAGGATCTGATGCGACAGCAACGCATTGCGACGAGTACCACGTCGCCGGTGCTCTCCCTGTTGGATGAGGACATCGTGGAGGTGGGCCCGGCGGAAACCATTAGTGGGGTGATCGATACCCGCCCGCTGGAGGCGCGTGGCGTGACCTTGAGCCGACAGGACTCGGCCTCCTCCCATTACACCCAACTCTGCACCACCAGCAGTGGTGGTAGTGGTAGTGGTGGTGGTGGTGGTGGTGGTGGTGGTGGTTCCGCCGCAGCACTGGCCAACGGAAAGAAGGCCACGCCGGCCAAGCAGAGCCAAACGACAACGACGCCAACAACAGTGGCAGCGGTGGCGGGCAACGGGGCCAATCCTCCCCAGCAATCGCAACCGTTGCTCTATGCGAACGTGACGATCAATCAAAAAGACTGCGGCACCGTGCCCTACGAGAACATTAACCTGGAGTACATTGCCCGGCTGATGAACGCGGGCTACTCCAAGGAGAACGCGATCACCGCCCTGGGGATTTCACGCAACAACATCGAGATGGCCGGCGACATCCTGCGCGAGTTTGTCTCCAAGAACAGCGCCTGAAGTGCCACGCCGGCGGATTGTTAAATCGGATGAAAAGTGCTTAGCCCAAAAGCCAAAAAATTCAATCCGCAGTCGAACTTCTCTAACTCGAATCAATATTTAAATTATATTTAATAGAATATATTTATTTATTTAAATAGGTTGTTACATTTTTGTAAAGTAACCAAATTAGGATTTTATATTTGGTGGTAATTTTGTTTTGGAGTCAGATACGTAGTTCGTGTTATACAATCACAAAAAAAAACAACAAAAATTCCTAATATTATTTTAGTGAATTAAAACTAGTTTTTCGGCTTATTTCTAATCCCTTAGCACTTGAAATTATATCAATTTTTTTAGTATACATATGTATATATATATTATTTTATTTAAGAAATTTTAAACCAGTTTAAAAAGAACACAACTAAGCAAAACCGCTTCAGTACAGCGAGTTTTTTATTTTGAATTTATTGATGTTCTTTCTGTGTTTCAAATTAGAATACCAAATTGTAGTGCCATTCAATTTAGTCAGAACTATGCGAAAATTCATTTAGAGAAGGTCGACTGTAATCAAGAATCATACAAAATTCGCATTAATCTCTAAAATCACGGTAAATATTCTTCGATTTAGGAGTACCAAACTCACACCTGTCCCATAGTTACGCTAAGTTAGTTGACCCCAGAAGAATAAACTCTAAGAAGTCCCCACTTGGCGTAGCCAGCACAAGCAATTCAAGTTTCCCCGGTTGACAATTTATTGAAGACAAACAAAATGATAAATTAATAAACAAAAATTTAAGCACCATCCTTAAATATCAAATATAGCTATGTACACTTAAATTAAGACTATCTAACTTCTTCCTATTAAGAGCAAACAAATATATAAGAAATTATAACTCGTATATACGCAGTTCTAGAAGGAAAAACTTGCCCACCCCAAAAACACACGAAATTAAAAATTTTCTCTCTCTCTCTCGTATAGAATTACAAATCAAGAGCCAAAAAAAAAAAAAGAAAAGACATGGTTAGATCTGGTTTATATATTGCATCTCAACTAGGTCGATGCTTTCTTTCACTATCATGCCCATGAGCCCATCTATAAGTAGTCCATCGTTTCATCCAAAATAAAACCAACAGAGTATTTGAATTGGATGCCCCATCGTAGGAGATCAGAATCGAACACAGCCATTATTGAAATGCCTTCGGCGGCGAATGCCTCCAACAAAACACAGAACTCTGAGTTTCCCCTTAACACCAAATGCAAGCAAGGATTATCCGAGTCCGAGTAAAGGACATAACACCCAACCAGATCCGATGCACTATCAAGTTTACCTCGATTTTTTATACAAAGCTTGAACGTTTTTGTAATAGTACTTGTAAGTTCGAATCGAATCAATTAATCTCCCAAACCAAGTTAAACGAGAAAATAATCATAATTCAATTTGTATTACGAATCCCTTTTTACTGGCTTTATATATGATAATCGATCGATCGGTTTTTAAATTCGTCAAAAAATGTTCTAGTCCCACACAAAAAAACACCATTTTTGCCATATTCGTATATCTACTAAACCTAAGCGATATATATTTATAAAATAGGCGATATATTAAACGTGCGACAACCAAAAATCGATTCGAATCGAAATCAATGCAATATATTCACTAAATGAGAAATCAATGCAAGCGTTAAATCATAAGTTATTTGACATAACCTCAACACATACGAGTATAGAACTACATATATAAACGAAAAACGAAAGGATCTTGAACTTTAAGCAGCATAAGAACAAATGGCAACTCCCAGCATATAGAGAGCCCAACAACCGAAAGGAAAAAGTCAATAAACTGTCAAGTTTTAAGAAGCGTACGAGAGTCTAAGGCGAAGCTAAGAAACGATGATACCATACCATAGTCATGTCATGTAACCGAACAAATCTAAGCAGATATAAATTATTCTTATAAATAAAAACAAAAAATAAAACAAAAATATCGATCTTTGTTTATTTTCTGTATGGGGAAGTAAGTAAAAAAATGTTCAATGTTACCAGTATCTCACATGCTAAGCTAGAGATGATATTGAAAAGAAACAAACTATATTCACAAGTCATAAGTTTCAGAGAAGTATATACATTCTTGATCAGAATTAGAGACAATCTTGCCAAACCGGAAAATCAACATGGCTTTATTGTTTTGAATCTTTCTTTTATATATTATAAGCTTTACAGATTCCCAAGAAAGCTAAAGTAAAAACACACCAGCGATTTGTAGTTTATTGAAATATGTATTTATTATTTATTCTGTTGTTGTTGTATTATTTGACTTATATAGTTTGCGATTTTTTTTCGTATTCAAGCACATATGTATGTATGTATTTTTCTTGTATTTTTGTATCTTTTTTGATGTTTTTGTTACATTTTTATAGTTTTTTCAATTTTTTTTTGTGTTTTGTTTGAAATATTTGTATGTTGTTTTTGTTGGTTTTTCGTAATAAGGATTTTAGTTACTGTGCTGTTCATTTCTTGCATTGCATGAATGACAAAACGCCCGGCCGCCGGCCGCTCAGAAAATGTTTTGGGCTGAGATGGCGTTTGGCATTTCTGTCGACTATCTCATCAACCTTCAGTTACCCCACCCGCCCTGCAGATAAATATATATCCCGCGGGATACACAATCCGCATATATCTATATGTAGATGTATAATCGTTATACAATATTAAAGTTACTATTTTTTCTTGCTCTTTGTTCTGGTTTTGTCTGTGAGTGTCTGTGTTGCTTAGTGTATGTTTTTGTTGTTGTGGTTTTTTTTTTTTTGCTTTTGTAGTTGTATATAACATGGCTATAATAGGACGTACTGATCCCAAATTTGTTGTTAGCTTGTTAAATGTTTTTTGTTTTTTTTTTGTTACATTAGTTTTTTTCTTTAGTAATTGAAATTCATAATTTTCACAATATTTGCTCTTTGTTACCGACACACGACACGCTCATAAGGTTTGGTTTTTTTGTTTTATTTTTGTTTTTTTTTTTTTTGTAGCTTTTTCTCGTATATATAGATTTTTTAAAAATTATTTTTATAATCTTCATTAAATGGTTTCAACAGATTTGGCGCAGCAAATTTAATTTGCTCTTCATCGTCACACAAAACTTTTCGTAATTTCCTTCTCTCCTGAATATTTTTTTTGTGAGTTTTCGTAATGCATTTTGTTGTTGCTTTAAATAAATATTTACGATGTAGCATGTATGTTTATGTTATGTAATAAATTAATGCAACCCTCTGAATGTAACAAAAGAATTGGCGAATCAACTTGGCGTGTGTTCACAAGCGAAGATCAAAACAAAGGAAATAATAACATTAATATTAAGTATGTTTACGGTAATGAATATGTAAAATATATATGTTCTGTACTTGTAGATATAAATACTTTCTTCTTGCTACACTCCATTGATTGGTTTCTTGTTTGATGTTGCTGCTGCGGTTGTTGTTCTACATAATTGTGGCTGCCGCAGTACAATTATTATTCAATAAATATAAATCGTTAACAGTAAGATTGAAAGCAGTGAAAGAACAATTTTCGAGAAGTACAAAAGAATACGAGTAGAGCAAGATACAGTAGAAGCAGGAACTATCCCGGCCATAGACAAATGTATTTAGAGAGTGTTGATTTTATACAATTTCTAACGCAATTATGCAAGGATTTCGTTGCCATTCTAGAATAAATACTTCATAGATTATGTTGTTTGTTTCCTTCCTCTCACTTTGTTTTGTTTTTCGCAATGGTTTTTTAATTATTTAAAATTAAAGCAAACTAGTAGAAAATAGTATACGTATACAAACGTTTTGGTTTCATCTCTCAGACACTTGGATTTCAATTTCATTTTGCTTCTAACTGGCCACAACACGAATCACGGTTGAGTCTAGTTGAAAACAAAGTGTTACAATGGTGGAGGGTTAGTTGGTAATATTACAAATAAGTTTCGATTTCAGACACGAAGAGTTCTCTTGTTGAGTTGCCGTTAAGTAGTTTCGTTAATATTAAATGTATGCCTTTGCTATCAATTATTATCAATTACGATCGTTTTCAATAGTGTTTTTTTGCTTCTAAAGGTTATATTCGTTATAATTGTTTGTGTATATGAATAGGGCGACAAGTTCACGTTGCTGTTAGTTGGTTGATTGGTAGCCTGCTCGCTTATGGCTTGCGTACAAGAATATATATAGCTGTAGGTAATTGTCTTTGATGTGCATCTAATATCCTGGCTTGCCTGTGTAACATTTGCAGCCCTCTACTCCACCAAGTTGCCTGAAAGATTGATATTTCTCAATCAAAACCGTTTTCTAGAATTGGGGCATATGCGTTATCTCACCTGGAATGCGTGGATGACGCGCTAAAACGGAAAAGCCTTTGCCCTGCGGTCCCTTTGGTGCACGAATGAGTATTAGGCGCGGCACAGTATCATCGCCGTTGAGCTTGAGGCGCGAGATCAGACGATCTGGACGATCGTTTATTTTCAGAACATTGCAAGCCGAAGACTTTCCATTACGCTAATGGAAATAGAAATATACCTCGTTAATATGTAATGCACACAAGTTTCAAGACAAGATTCAACCCACCTGATTGGTAACCACGGAGAACTCCACGGTATCGCCTGGATGTAAGGCGACAGTATTGCCCTGCACCTCGGACATGTGGAAGAACAACTTTTTGCCGTCCTCCACCTCAAAGTTGAGAAAACCAAACTGTCCCTTGATGGAGTCCACAGTGGCGCGTTTCTTCTGCCTCACGGCATTCACATTCGCTGCCCGACCGCTTTCATCGATACGGAAACTAACCAAATCGCCCTTCTGAAGCAGATCTCTCTTGTTCACCAGACTTGTGATCCCGAACTCATGTTGCGAAATAACAGTGGTGCGTGACTCGTCGAGAATCTCAATTAGACCGGCATACTCCTGCTGGTCAGGATTGATGCAGCGCAGCGGACGAGCCACCACACCATTGTGGGTGGTGTCCAGCACAGCAGGCTGGGGAATAGAGTTCTTGGGCAGCATGCGGACATTCTCCGCCGGCAGACAGTTTCCAGAAACGGATGTATTTCCGTTGCGGGCCAGAGTGTACTCCACCTCCTGACCCAACTCCAACCAGTTGGGGTTGCCCAGATAGTTGCTAAAGTGGAAGAAAACCTCCTCGTCGTGGGACAAAGTCTCAATGAATCCAAAATTCTCCTTCATTACGGCTATGAAGCCACGGTACACCTGCCCAGCCTCGGATCCGGCATGATTGTTGTTCTCCAGCTTAAAATCGTCCATGTGGCCCGGATTGTTGCTGCCCACGCTGCTGGTGCTGCCACCGGGGCTGCCGTGCATCACATAACCATTCTGCAGCGAGGCGTTTGAGCTGCTGCTACTGATTCCATTCGACAATCCTGAAAGCTGGTCGTTTTGGTTAAGGTTTCCCCCAGCGCTCGGCTGATTAAGCAGCAACTGTTGCTGTTGCTGCTGCTGTTGTTGCTGCTGCTGCAGCGAAACTTGCTGTACGTTAACGGCTATACACTCCTTGTTACGTTTGACCTAATTAACAACATAATTGTAAAGTCTTAACTAATTTCCTTGAAAATCACCATTTTTTCAAACTCACCATGTAAATATCGAAGCGTACTCGCTCCCCAATCCTTGGTGGTTTTTCGCAGTCTTTAAGAAAATACATAATAGTCTTTTTAACATCGGCATTCTCGTAGGTAATCACACCGCCCTCGACGCGATCTTGAGATTTAATTGGGCTCTTGGGTGCCTCGCGTGTCACGCAGCCTGCTCGTAGATATTACGAATTAGTAATGATATAATTTGAATGCGAATATTAAAGGCATACCCTCTATGTTGCTGACCACTAGGGTTTCGAATTGCACTGAATTGGGCGGCAAGTGTTTAATGCGTATGGCCTGCAAACGCGAGTTATTATAGGCCAATCCAGGCTCCTGGATAACAGTGAATTCCACCTCATCGTTGACGTCGATTTCGCGGCTCTATAAAAACAAATATTTGGTTATTGATAAGCAACTAATAAGCTTCTTAGAACAAACTTATTTATAAGAATGATTCTCACCGTATCTAAAACTTCAGTAAAATGGAAAAATAGACGAGCCTGTCGCTCCACGCAGCGCAGGAAGCCGAAGCCCTCTTTTAGGGATGCAATGGTGCCCTGCTCCCGCTTCTCACCGGACACCTTAAAGGTCTCGTCCAGCAGGGCGATCGATGTGGCCCGCTGCAGCTGATCGCGCCGATCGGTGGCAAGCAGAAACTGCACCCAATCACCATGGCGCAAGGTGAAGTCACCCTTCTGATCCTTGTCCCCGAACGGAACCTCCACCTCGGAATAATCCAAAGCCCTGTAACGAATGCGACCCGGCAAGGGATCATTGTTTTGGCGCACCGGATTGTTGCGATCGAGCGACTTGAGCACCTGGCCCTTGTACACCGTGCTGTCCACGTCTTCAAAGATAACCGATCCCGGTGCTAGGCGCGTGATGTTGCACGCAAATTCACGGCCCTGCGGCGGCACAGAGGCAGACTGCATTTTTGATTGGAGGATGTTGGGGTTGGTCGGATCGCCGCTGCCACTTACGCTCCGCGTCTGGATGGTAAACTCGACATCGTCACCGGGGCGCAGCTCCACATTGCCCTCGGCTTCCGAAAAGTGGAAGAAGATCTCTTTAACCACATCGGCGCGTTCGATAAAGCCGAATGACTCCTTCATGGAGCAAACCACGCCACGATACTTGACCGGCTGAGCCGGATTCTCCAGGCGAATATGGCAGGCGCCTAGATTACCTCTGTGATAAATAAGATACAAAAATATTTAGGCTTAAGTAGATACTTTCTTTTCTATAAACTAATTCTTACCTTTGGTTCGTTGCGATTTGAAAGCTGACCTTGTCGCCAGCGCGCAAGTTGACATTGCCTTCCACATCGTCTTTGGTATAGGGTAAAAAGAAGCATTCGCCTCGGTTCTCATAGCTAATGCGACCGGTGGTCTCGCTGGAGTTGAGCAGATTATTAGCGCTATCCGTGCGCAGCTCGGTGGTCACTGTGCCGGTGACCCGCTCCTCGGAGAGAACAACCTCTGGGGCTATCTTGGACACTTGACTAGCTATCGGCTTGCCGGTGCGGCGATCGTAGGTCATCTCGAACTCCACGGGATCCCCGATTTTCAAATGATCAATATTACCGCTGAATTGCGAGAAATGAAAGAAGAGTCGTGCCTGCCGCTCGCAGCACTGAATAAATCCATAGGAGTGCTATAATTAAGGGGAATAGAAAATGTAAAATTAGATATTGCGGTCAAGTAAAAGTTTCCGTCTCCTACTTACCAGCAGCTTCTCGATGATGCCAGTTTCCCGGGTGGTCTGGCTGGGATCCGCAGCTGCAGCCGACGAATTGCTTGACTGGGAGCCAAAGATAGAAGAGGAACTCCCAGCTCCGTTAGTCAAAACGCTATTAGATTGGAATACTCCGATTTGAGGAGGATTCTGGATGACATCGTTGACCTCGTTGGCATCAAACATTCCAATGCTTTGATGTTGTTGCTGCTGCTGCTGCTGATGCTGTTGCTGCTGCTGATGTTGTTGCTGCTGTTGCTGATGTTGCTGCTGCTGTTGATGTTGCTGCTGCTGCTGATGTTGCTGCTGCATATGCTGCTGCTGCTGTTGTTGGTGTTGCTGCTGCTGCTGTTGCTGATGGTGATGCATATTCTGCTGCTGTTGCTGCTGAGCCGACGGTCCCTGACCTTGCGGCTGCAATCCCAGCGTTGTTGAATCAAGCGTAAAGGTTCCAATGGTCGGAAATGTAGTCGGGATTCCCAGGTTGCGAATGGCATTAATGTTGAAGTAACCATCGCATGGCAAGTTGTCATAGATTTCTGAGTATTTTTAAAATTATTATTAGTTAAATATCCAATTTTAAAAATAAATCAAAGCCTAAATGTTTTGTATGTAAGAGACCCTTACCTTCGCCGGTGCGGTACACCTTCGATTGCGTATTCATGTTGAATTGATTGATATTGGATATTAACAAACAAAGAAAAATGCTGATAAGGACTAGCAAATTGGAGACTGGTTCTTGGCGATGGTGATTGCAATTGTTATTGGTATTGGGTGGTCAGTGGTATAACCCGATAATGGATGCGAATGCCGAAACGAAAGTCGATTGGAACGAAAGTCGAACTTGAAGAAAGCGCGAGAAATGACCGAAAACAGATTTATTGATCTCACTTTTGTTTGCTCTTTAGGGTATTTTCTTAAATTTTTTTTTAGTTTTTATTTTAATTTTTTATATCAAAGAGAAAAAAACTAAGCAATAAATACGTATTTGTTTTTTAGTTTTTGTTTGTTTTGTTTTTTGTGTATATATATTTTGGCTAAACACTGGCACAAGAGGCACTGAAATTCCTTGTCTTCGAAGTTAATAAAAATTGTTGTCTTTTCTCGAGGGCATGCCCCACAAAAAAATGGTTGTATTTCTTAGCTTTCCTTTGCTGTTGTTGGTTTGTTTGTGTTCCTTGTTGTGTGTGTTTTTTTTTTGTTGTAAAAAATGCCGACAAATATTGTAACGTTGTTGGTTTGTTTTGGTAGTTTGAAGTTCCTTCCTGGGTCTGTTATAGGTTTTGTTTCCAAAGTTGTTTTTGTTTTTTTTATATATTTTTTTTGATCGTTTTGTGTATTCAAAATATTGTTGATTTACGATGAAAATGCATACCAGCTGCTGCCGTTGGTGTTTTTTGTTTTTTTTTTTTCGAGTTTTGAATTATTATTGAATTATTGCATTTTGTTTGAAATGGTTTTGGTTGATTTTTTTATATTTTTACTTTAGTTTTACTAGAAAAATACACTGGGAATACTTTTTACTTTTGGGTAAGATTAGCTTTTGTTTGATATTTGAATATTTTGTGTGTTTTGCTTGATTATATTGTTTTTTGTTTTCTATATAGTATACATATATATAATATATATTTTGTAGGCAATCGTTGTGGTTTATAGGAAGTAGTAGTGATTTAATTTTAAATTACTTTCGAATACCCTTAGTACAACGATGATTTTTGGGGACGAGGTTCGATTCTCCTTCTTATTCTCCGGCTGCTTCTTCTTCCCGGGACTTCCGTTTCCGGTTCCTCCCTCTCTATATCTTCGTCTCGATTTTCTCTTTTGTTTCGCTGTACGTTGCTATTACTTTTCGGTTGCACGATTTGTATAATTTGTTTGTTGTTTTTTGCTGTTTTATTGCTGTTTCATTTACTATTCACTAAGCAAAAATTATGAGTTTTAAGGTTTTTGTTTTTAATATATATAATAGATATAGGATACCCGTTATGTGAAGTTATCCTCGCTCATTTACTATGTTGAACTTTAAGCCTACGATTTATGTTGTTTTGTTTAAATATATATTTTTTTTGAATGCGTTTTGAAGTCTTTTTATAACCTAGGGTTTTTATTTTGCTTTTTGTTGGTTGGTTTTGTTATTTTTCACTTATTCCTTTGTTTTGTTTTCTCGGTTCTCGCTTACTAGATTTAAGCTTAGTTTAATAGTTTATATAATATAATATATAATATACTATAGTATATATGTATCGAAGTCCTTTAAGATATCACGAATTTGTTTCAATGTTTTTTATCTTTTCATTTGCATTTGCTCTTAAGTGTAAAGTTGTTGTTGTTGGTTTAAGATGTTTTTCTGTTATCTTCGCCTACTCCTTCGCTCCTTCTTCGCCTATTGTTAAAAATTACGGGTTTTGCCTTTCATTCCATTAGAGATTTTTTTGTGGTTTTTCTTTGCGTTTTTTTCTTTTTTTTGTTTATTTAAATTTATAAATTTACAGTAATTATCACAGAGTTGTTAAATCTTTCTTTGAATTTGTTTTGTTTTTCTTTTCTCCGTTTTACTTCCGTTTGTTGCAGTTGCTTTTGCTGTTTTAGACTTTTAACATTTCTCACTAGGTACACTTATAAAAAAAACTGAATTGAAAACTAGTAAAAAACAATGCTTTATTGGAAAAAATAAAAACTGTTTCTTTGGCACAAGGCCGCAGTTTTAAATTTGTTATGCGTTCTCTATATATATTGTATTAATCCGTTTATTTTTCACTAACTTATTGTTTTTCTTATTAAATTTATTGGCTAAGTTAAATTGCTGGTGTTGTTGTTGTAGGTCTGTGTAAAACTTGACTTAAAACTTATAGAATTCTTGTAGATTTTTGGTTTTAAATGTTTTCTTTATTGTTACCGTTATATTTTTAGTATATATTTTTTATTCACACTTTTTTTGCGGCACAATTGTTGCTTAATCGGTTTTATTCTGCTCTTCTTGCTTCTCTTTCCGTCTCTCACTTTCTTTTCGCCCCTTTTGGGCCTTTATCAGTTTGTTCTCCTTTACGACTTAAATTCTAGCAGTGTTTTTTGTTTAGTTAAATAATTTAGATTGATGTTGCGTTTTAAATTAAATCGTTTTTAATATGTTTAAATTATTTGTTGTTGATTTACTCCCGGTTATTTTGTACTTTAAAACATTAATTCAGTTGTTTGTTGTTGGTTGGTTGTTGTTTGTTTGTTGTTGCTGATGCTTTTGTAGCTCGGTTGCTGTTGTTGTTGTCTTAATTTAAATTAATTAGCAAATTGAATTCACTTTGACTTAACAACAAAAAATTCGTAATTAAATTAAAGCTTTTCAGGAAAAATAATGAGGAATTTTGGGATTGATTTAGCGTTTTTCAAAGTGTTTATTTTAGGATTTTTTTTTATTCGAGAGTCCGAACGCCGCAGCGCCGTTGCCTTTACTTTCCCGTTAGTTGTTTCCCGTTTCTTTTTGTTTTCAGTGCTTTTGCTGTTTTCTTTTGAACTCCGCTTCACTTGCTCCTTCGTAGTTTGCCTTTTATTTTTAGCTTTTCTTGTATTTTTTTATTTGTTGGTGCTTTTGAGTATTGACGAGTTAATTTCACAGCGTTTCAATTTGTTTGGTTTGTTGTTGTTGTTGGTTTTGTTGTTGTTGTTTTTTTTTTTTTTTTTGAAAGTCTTCGTTTCAAGCTTGGCTTGTTTTTTGTTGTTTTGTTTTATTTGCGCAGTCGCTTTATCTCCCTCTCTCTCTCTCTGTCTGTCTCGCTCACACCCACGGGCGGCGTAAAAATTCTCGTTTTTTCTGTTTGTGTATGTTTTATCTTTGCAAAGCAAACGAAACAAAAACAAAGAAGAGTCCAAAAAACTTAAAAAGTTTTTGCTTTGACTTTTTTCCTTTTGAGCTATGTTGTTGTTGGTTTTTTATGTATTTTTGCTGTAACTTTTAATTATTTGCGATTTATATTTTGTATGTATTATTTTTTGATTCGTTTTCGATGGTGTTTTTTTATTTTTTTATATCATATTTTTTGTTGTATTTTATATTATTATTATTTTTATTCAGATTATGATGAAAGTGATGTCAAAACGGAGTTTTAGTTACAAAAGCTGCGGGGTGAAAAAAGAGAAAGGTGGAAACGATTAGACTCAAAATCAAAATTTTTTTTTCTTTTTTTGGCTAGTGAAATCTACACCGAAAAAGTCTTGCTGCAGTTTTATCGATTTTTCAGTGTTGCAAATGGAGAGATTTTTGCCTGCCGGAAAAAATTGCACACACACATCAACCCACTACGCACACACGCACGCTCATACACACGCATTTGCAAACTGGCTGGCAGCGAGAAAAAATGTTATTTAGGCATTAAAAACCTTGTTTCTCTGGCACTTTTCATGTTTTTCCATCACAGCTATGTTTGCGGCACATTTTCTGCATATTTTCGTTCCGAATTTGAGTTAAATAATAGTCCTATTTGAAGCGAAAAAGATTTTTCTCGACCAGCCACACGTACCACACGACAGCACAACAACCGGACGCCATTTTGCCGACAACAACAGAAAAAAAAATACCGTTTTGGAATGTGACCATATTCGTTTGCCCGTTTGAAAAAGGTTCCGTTGCAGCAAAACATAAAACTTAAAAATATTAATTGTGTTTTAATTCCTTTATCTTCACCCGAAAAAGTTATTCTCCAGCGCTCTAAACATAACAATACGTGCTATAAAATAGGAACAATTTTAATGTACTGCTCTAACTTTGGTTTGAATTTTTAAAGGCCAGGGAAATCTCCTGTTTTTACCGCTCTGTTCAATCGGTCACAGATTGCTTAAAAATGAAACAATATTACATTTTTTAAACATTAGCTTGCCGAAGCTTGCTTCATTGTTTATTTTTGAGATAAGCTTATGAGTTAAATGTATTTATGCACTTTCATATGACCATAACAAAAGAAACTAGATTATGAGGCAGACGAGCATATTACAATTTTCGCTTTACTTCATTAATTAATTGGATTTTTTACAACAAATACATTTTGTGTGTAACAAGATCTAAAAAATCTATCCATCGCTTAAAATAGTTTTGCGATGATTTTCGAAGACATCATTTTGCCGCCAGCGCAATTTCAGTGTTGCGAAGTGCGCGAGTCAGGGGCAATTGTTACGTAGTGGCCATGGTTGCAGGCCAGGGGGATAGCACTGTTTTAATTTAAAATGTAATATTGTAGTCACTGTAGCTTCGGTAAAAGTTAAAATATCTCAATAAATCACAAAATCAAAATATTTCTCATTGTACTATGTTATAAAAGCATTTTGTAATTTTCATTTGAAAGAAGCCAAGATATTGCGATGCTATATTTTGGTTAAAAGGGGTATTCTGGTCTAAAAAATTTGAAAGAAAAAAATATGGAAAAACCCTATTTTAAAAGTGTAAACTTTGAAAATTGTGATCCTTAAAGGATTTTTAAAAATTCGAATTATTTTGGGAGGCACAGTCAATTCTGTGACGTAAAGTCCGAGTCATTAGAATCGTTTTCTAATCTTTGAACGCGTTTTCCTTAAAACTTCTTATTTTTTTGAGGTGGTTGAAATAATTTTTCAAGTTCTACTGAACGGATTTCTTAGATTTTTTTTTTATTTCTTGTTTATACTACTTTCTATCGCGTCTGCCTCGGTCTTAAAATAATTAAAAGTATTTTTAAGTAATTGTTTTCAAGTCGACGTGGTTTTGTTACTTTTAATTATTTTTTTTAAAGTGATCAACCCGATCTCATTTTTTTTTTTTCGTGTCAATAAAGAACATAAAAATAAATGAAATTCAGGCTTATTAATCGTTAAAATGTTATATTAAGGCTTGGGAAAAATATCAAAATACAATTTTTTTCTTTATTTATTGGTTCCTACATTTTTTAAAGTTAAAAACTAAACTAAACAATAAATAAGCATAATGTATTTTCTTTAAAAAACCGTAACTAAACCTGGAATATCACCTAGAAGGAAAATGTATATGCATTCACTTGTTTCAGAAACAAACGCTCCCTCTTACATTTAAAAGATTTTTTTTTGAAAAGAACAGAATTTAGAGTATTTCAAACCAAAAAAAAAACCTTTAAAAATTTTTGGGACTTTCAACGAATTTTTATTTACGGCATTTCAGCAGATCTATCGATAATTAACTTAGATAGTATACAGTATGGGCTCAAATATTTTGCCTTTTCTTTGTAGATTTAAATTTACAAAATCTAGGTAGTTGGTTACAGTGCCTTTTATACATTTGAAGTGCCAAATATTATTAATTTGAATATGTTATCAAAATGCCCTGTTAAATATGTCTCTGGGCTAATTTTATTGAAAAAGTTTTAATTTCCCGAATTGATTAATGTTAATGATTAACGGCACCTCGATTTGGTCACAATAAATTGCATCTGGTTTTGCTTACTTTTCGGTTAATTAACTGCCTGGATTGCATAATACATATTTAGAAAAAGGTCTTAAATTTGGTCTCTGTGTGTTTTCGAGGTTTTACTTACTTTAGCTAATATTTTGTATTTGGTGCAGTTTAAAGGAAATATATTTTACTTTATGTATGTACAGTGCATTTTCAAATATTAAAAACCATTTATATTTGGACACAATATTGAATCAATGTTCTAATGATTTAAAAACAATATTTTATTTAAAATGTCATTAAATTGACTCTATAATTGCGTCCATGTCGTACAATTGTTCAGAGAGCTCTAAAACATACATTTAACACAATATAGTTCTGAAGAGTGAAAGTGAGACATGGCCGATGGATCCATCTTCTAAAATGCATTTAATGAAAAACTGCAAATAGATTTAAGTCTCACAGAAACATTTGGAGACAACATGGTCATGAAAATCGTTACACAAAAGAGTCAAGAATTACTGGCAGTTCGCCAACTCACGTGCAATAAAAACTTGACTATTGCGGTCTTGAGTAATTTACAAATGTTAAGTACAACAAGCAAAACTGAAACCGAAACCTAAATGCAAATGCTCAATGAGTTTTACATACACAATTGTTTGCTATGTAGGTATTAACTAACGTTACATATTATTCTCTTCTCTTTTACTTAAGAACTATGTAAATATCAGCAATTAACTACGAAAACAAGTTGGGGCAAGGCGGATAGTGGTGTTCCAGTTTAGGGCTTGCTGTCGAAACCGGCAAAATCGGAGGCCTCCGACTCATCCTCATCCCGTTCGACTCCGATGCAGTGGATTCCGGTGCGCAGCATGGGCGTGCCCTTGCCCTTCCCCAAAACCCGGGCGGCGATCACTAGCTGCAGCAGCTCCTTTGCATTGGATGAGCTGACAATGTGAAGGACCTCGCGTAGCAGCTTCTCCTTGTAGGCAAAGAACTCGATTTTCATCTCGAAAAAGTCGTGCTCGTCATGCTTGGTGCCCGCGAACTCCGTAATCCTGCAGTGCAGACTCGGCGCGGCGCTGATCACCGGCTCGAACTTGCTGGCCAGTGTCCGTGCATCGCCAAAAAGCGACGTCGGGACCTTCAGGTCGATCAGGTAGCGGTGATTGATCTGTAGGAATCCCAGGCTAACCACAATCGTGTCGCCCGACCTTTGATATGTCACACAGCTGTCCGACTCGAAGTCGTCCTTCACCGTGTTCGTGTCGAAGTGCACATGGTGGTCTGAAATAGAGAAAGGTAAAAATCAGTTTTTGGAAACTCAAGTGATAAGTTAATTTTGTATTAAACCTGTGTAATATGCCAATGACATATTGTGTGCTTATGTTATACACAATAAAGATAACTGATTTTATTTATTTAGATTCCTTATAATGCCTAGTCTTTTCCACAATATTATAACTATATTTATCTAAAAAAACTTTTTAAAGCTAATTTTAAGACGCTTGTTAAATTAATATTTAAGGTTAATAAAGGGATGCTTCAGTTTTTGAAATTTTTTCTATTTTCTGGTCTTTATATTAAAAATTTAACTTCGTTCCTTGGTATTGAATTGCCTTATATAAAACTGAAATTTTACATGCAACAACAGAGATTCCCCTTGTCTCTATTGCTTTCTAAATTGTTTGCAGTTTGGCGATTTGTAAATGCAAACAGAATTTAATTAAAACCCGTATTTGTTGAACGAGCTGAACAACAGATGAACTAAAAATTATTTTTTCAGAGCCAAAGGTTGGCCAGGTAGACAAGCAAAATCGAGTAAAATTACCGTAATAAGCAGAAGTATTCCGAGATAAACAAACAAGCAAACAAAAGTCTTGCCCCGCCTCGGGTAAATTTTCCCCAGCGGCATTTCCAGCGGAAATTGCGTGTAAGCGTGTAATTAAACGCGCCTACCGCTTACCCTGTTTCTACACAGAAAAAAAACATAATAATTAAATTGATATTATACGTAATATATTTTCTATTATTTTTTTAATTAAATCGTATAGGTAACTTTTAAGATTATTACTTCAAGTACCTTTAATATACAATATTGATCTTATAACATTGCAAAAATATTTTAAGTGTACGAATAAATAAACGAATGGGGAATCGGGGAACTGGGCAAAACTTAGGGCTTAAATCACATTAAAATTGGGTCAATTGGGACCAAGTGCACTGGCTGTCGTTTGAGATTTAAAGCGTCAAATTTCGTGCTGGCACTCGCACTCCAGAAGGCGTTTAACTGAATTTAAAAATAAAAATCTTCCGCTGGCTTTTAATTGTTGCCAAAATATGTAAGCCAATTGTGCGGTAACAATGATGAATGAGCTAATTATTTTCGAATTTTAGCTGCGGTGTTGAAAGCTACTCAACGTATCTATTACATAAGTGGTCTACTTTGTTGACAACTAAATATAAATGTTTAGCTTGAATAAATAAAATTTAGTAAAATTCTATACTTTTCCAAGTGGTTATTCTAGAAGGTTTTTAAGAGTGATACTAATTATAAATGAGTCAATAAAGTTTATACCTTATAGATCACGTGTAGGTTAACTACACTTAAATAAACCATTTCCGTGTTCAAAATTGAACAAAATTTTCATTCAATTTGACACCTCTGCCCGAAATAAATATAATTTACAATCAAAATTAGCGCTGAAAACTAACCAAAGCGCAGCACGCTAATGACTGGCATAAGGCATTGCATACCTTAGTAAAAATCGTATTTTAATAGACCGCCTGTTTTGCAACGCAATTAACAAATCGCTGACAAATGTTTTTGCAGCTATAAAAATTTGACAGCAAAACTAGCCTCTAATCGGACTCTAAATCACAATCGTTCAATGCCCTGAGATATCTAGAAAGTCGCCTAGTTAATCATACGCGATTGCCGCATATATTTGTTTGCAATACTTCATGGCCCCGAAAAAGTCGTGGTTCACTATAAATAGAACCCTTGACTAGTTGGTCATGGCACTGGCATCGGCAATTGTGGCAAAAGTTTGTTATTTTCGGCAGAACATTTCCACATAAACGTGGAGAGCCAGACAGTGCGTTTCAAAACTTAAAATACACATGTATTAATTATAGTTTGTCTTTAAAAATGTTTAATTTATTAGTTTCAATACGGGTTTACATAGTTCCCTTTTCTGAGTTGCATCATGAATTGGTAATATTTTTTATTTAAATGCCTCTGTTCATCTTGCGTTTACCTATGTTTATAAAATGTCTTGTATCTTTTGTTTTCCGTTTTCAAATAGATATTTTGTTCTGTTCTGATGTCGCAACGATTGGAATGTCTGCGCAAACGGTTGAAATTTTATTTTCCCTTTTTTCTTGACCATATTCCTGTTTTCTGTTGTTTATTTTGGCTGATCGCCCGCTCAGCAGAACGTAATAATTCAAATTTGCACTTTAATGTGCAGGAAATGTGGACATGATATTTATGTGTAATTTAAACGCAGACGAATGCGAAATTGAAGCAATTTTCCGGTTGCTCCTTTGCCGTTTCGCAGTATGTAAGCAATTTATTGTAATCCAGCTTAATCTGCTTAGAGTCGATTCAACAATGGAGGCGTCGTCCCAACAAAGCGAATTCATCCGCTTCGCCAAGTGCCGCGGGGGAAAAGTTGATTGTTCTTTTTATAAATTTCATTTAGAGTCATGCGCCACACTCAAAAAACCGGTTGTCTGGGAAAAACAGTCTCTCACGTGCCCCCCCAATCACCATTGATTAACCATTAATGGAAAATTACAATCGATTCGGCAACTGTTATTGCTAGAAATTCAAATTTGAGTAGCACATTTTTGGGATTTCATCTCGCTCCCATTGCCGCAATAGGTTCAATTTTTGTATACAGATAAATTATCTGATGCATATCTGACAGATTGTCTACCAATTGAATACTCGTTGGCTTTTTCTCTATGTATTTCAATTGGTTCGTTTACTCAAATATTTTCTAATTTAATGTCTAGAAAGTATGGTAGACCATTTATGAATCTCTTGATGCGTTGGAATTGCGTGACCTAATCATGATTTAGGCATATCGATCCTCAAGGAGATTTTATTTGAATTTATTTGTTTTTAAGTAAGAAGACTATTCATAAATAAATTATATAGATTATGGTTCAATATGTTAATATCCAAACAAAAACTATAACCTAAAATTATAATATAATAATTAATACATGACGTATTATAGAATATAAAATTGACTTTTATCCAAGATAATATATCAATATATTCTTATCAAACTCTAGGTACGATAAAGGTTTTTTTGTCATGTTTGCCCAATTTGTCAAGAGACTGCTTTCCACCCTCACAGCCGGAATTATATAATTTACACCCACCAAATTTGGTGTGTTTTTTATTGTTTGGCGGTACTTGTGGGTCTGCCCCATAAAAAAAGCAGGTGCCAAACTAAATCGTTTAAGTAGCTTCCCTACGTGGGATGCCATAAAAAGTCATCCATTTGCTGTACGTGCCAAATTGAATATAGAATATAGAAAATGCAATATGCAAAATGCAAAATGAAGAGGGAAACAACAAACTGCAAACATGCATAACAATAATGTAAATTTTGTTTTTCTGATTCTGGAATCGAAACAATTGAAAAGGTGTCCGTGTCCCAACGACACAAATATCAATCACAGGCACCTCATGGCCGGTGGGTGAGTTTTGGGTGGTAAACGGGGAGGTGTGTGCTCCCTCATGTAACAAATACAACGAGGCCAAACAACGTGCCCGTTGCTTTCCCCGACTCTATAAATAGCCCAACTCATGAGGATTACACAATTGCATATCACTTTATAGAAAGAATACAAAAAAAAAAAAAACTACACTACAACAATGCAATCTCTGCTGGCGGTCAGGTTATATGCAATTTAATTAGCCCAATGGGAGGGGATCATTGTCACTATTATTATGAATGTTGTCGTTGTTGTAGTTTTTCGTTCTGAGTGCTGAAACTATAATCTCCGGGCGGGCGCTAAATGAATTTACAATTAGCACTGCCCACGAAACGCTTGGCAAATATTATCAAGCGCTAACTCACGACAATTTACATGGGTCGGCAATAAAGTGTAGGAGAAAAAATGTAAAATACTCTACAAATAACCACGTTTAGCCAAAAATAAATAAAGTGAAACATAATGAATTTTTACTGGTAGCTGCTAAGCAATTTGTTTTTATATTACATCAATAGTTTTCTATTCTGCAGGTTTGCTTAAATTGTATTTATAAGGAAGGCTAAGTATATAAACTTTTTCACTTTCAAAGTAAGAAATTGTTAAGTTAGCTAGTGAGGACATACAATTCTTAAAAATCAATGGGAAAGCTTCGCAAATTCTTAAAAATATTAAAAGAAGAAACTTTAATTTTCGACTTAAATAAACTGCTGAGCTGTATAATTCATAATAGATCGAATAACCGCCACTTGAAAGTGCCCCTCTTAAGGCGAGATAAGCTCTAATTGATACAAGTTTGTACACACAAAAATGAAAATTATTTCTATTTTCCATGTGTTTATGGCACACAATTCATTAATTTTTGTCAGGAGATCATAAATTAAAATTAATCTAAGACAATTTAAGAACGCTTCAACTGGCTCAACTGCCACTGATAAAATTTTGGTCGAGCGCCGTTTGAAAAGATAAGAAACCCATTTCAGTCACGCGAATTGCGACAAACGCAGGAAAATCATCGATTTCACCGGCAAATGTCAAATGATTTCTGCAAGGGCGGCAAGTGGGGTGGTCAGTGGGTAAAATTGGCTTAGCTGTGGCCATGAACAAATATTATTTTTAATATTGCGGCAGAAAACCAGGAAGAGGTCAAGAAATAACAATAAGTAGGGAAGGGGAGGACAAGATAAGGGAATGTGTGAAGTAGACAGGAAGGAAATGCCAAAACTAACAGTTCAATGCTTACACTGATCAAAATTGGAATTCTTTTAGAAATCAATTACATATTTTAACATATGTTCAATAATAAAATTTTTCTAATTTAAAATGTATCTTAGCGTAAAAAAATTGTCATTACAATTAAGTTAAGCTAATGGACAATATAACGATCCCGCGCATGTTACATAAAATATTTATCCCAAAATAAAATAAGAAATTATGGATTGCAACCTAAGCCTTTTTAAATAATTTTTAATCAGGGGTAGAGATTTCCACAAATGTTGTGCATCAAGTCTTTTCTTTCAGTGTGGCACATGCATGAGAGTTGCTTAGCCAAAATGCAGATGTCCTGAATCCCAGAAAAGGTCAACGTTCAACAGGAAACGAACAATTTTTCTTGGGTTGCCTGACTTGCCTAAATTTATCCAATTTTTCTCTCATTATAATTAAACATTAGCATAAGCCAAAATCCACCGGAGTCACTACCACTTTTACCGCCTTTTATATGAACAGCAAAGAAAAGCCCCAAACCACATACTTTACCTAATGATATTTTAACGCACTTGAAAAGGTTCTATTGAAACATTAGAGAACCGATTTCCACTTAATGGATATGCAAACACCGAAACAGAGCGAATTTTTACCTTGATGCTCCACATTTTCGACGGCTTCGTCGCACATTTTTATGATCTAAAGATTCGCAGCTTCCTTTGTAATTTATGTCTTGGTGGTTTAGTTAAATGCCAGCGATTTTCCGTTCAGTCGATGTTTAATGCAACCAGGCGACGCGCTGTTTCAAGTTTTCTTAATATTATTAGCCGATTTAAATCAGTTTCCAGTGTCAACGTCCCAACAACAACAAAATAAACAACAGTCCGTGGTAGTGGTGGAAGGGATTGTCATCGATGTTTTTAAAAAATCGGCTATATCGATGTTGTTATCGAAAAATTCAATTTGCACTCTGAGATTGAGAGAACTCAGAAGATCTCTCTCTTTCTGTTAGTTCGACGTTTCGCTAACATTTCACTACAAAACACAAACCCACCACAAGCACGCAAACTCACCGCTAGAGGTGGAGAAACATCTGTGCCAACATCAATGTCATCGATGTTTTTAAAACATTGGTTATATCGATGTTGATATCGATGTTTCACCACCTCTAAGCAACACCGCGCTGAACAACATGTTGCTTGCCACGGTCTGCATGTTGCCTGGCGATATATTGTTGCACACTTCTGTTAGTTTTCACTCTAGTTCCTGGCGCCATCTGACGGAGGCATGTTAAGATGAACTGTATAAAAAGAGTATAAGAATAGCGGGGCTGGCAACGCTGGAGGATCTGACAACGGGGATAAAGCTTTGAAAACGGAGAAATTGAGTAAAAACTGCGAAAAGTACATTTTGACGGTCTCGCAAAATAAAGGGCGCGCCGATCTAGTCCACGCCCACGGCCACTCACAACAACACTTTTTACACTGACAAATTTGTAAGACCATTAAGACATATTTGTAAGACCTTTGTAAGAGTTTAATGGTTGGAAAACGGGTGTAGGCACTCTTACGTACTACAAATATGAAAATTAAACAAATAAAAAATAAAATAAATAACCGCTTGTTTATTTTGTTTTCTCCATTTTAATAAAATAAGGATCCTGATGTTTTTACGTCGTAACTACAATGTAAGGAAATTTTTCAATTTTATTTCAAACTCGATAAAACATTGATGTCTTGAAATTGTTTTTTCATCTTTAAAGTGTCGTCGCTGCGGAGTATGTCTCCGCTATCTTTGAAGGGTGTATCCACTATCTATCGATAAGTGTGTCTGCAGAACTGAAATTAGGGCTGCCGGACTTCAGTAAATTTTATTTTTGGGAGTGTAAGAACCGAAATTGAAATTAAAGTGATTTGTTTGTAAATATTTAGTATAAAAAACAAAATTAAGTCTCTAGAATTGAATATTTTTAATTGAAGAGTATAAAAATGACTAGAACAGCCATTTATAAAGAAATTCGTTTATTTGATTTCACCAACAAAAGCTACTTGCTATGCCACGACTGCTGGCTTTTTTAGCCCCTAGCCTGCGACCGTGCTGCCATCTTTCCACAACCAGTGCTGCCGGACCCTGCAAAGTATATATTTTTACAAAATGGTGGCTTCTTCGCGGAGAAATTCGTAGTGGCGATTATTAACAAAAGGCACGCAATTTGGCCAGCGAATTATAGCAAATTGTTGGCGAAAACACTCGCAACGACGCTGGCTGCTGCGTTTGGATGGAAAACTCGCGGAAAAGCAACCAAAAAACGCGCACGAACCCAGTGAAAATAACTGAAAGCGAAGGCAGGCAATAAAAAACGCAAGCAAGCAACCAAAGTGCGTGCCTGTGTGTGTGTGTCTGTGTGCCGTGAGTGTGCGTGTATGTGTCTGTACGTGAGTGTGTCTCTCTGTTAGTGTGTGTGTGCGCAAAGTGTATGCAAAAAAGAAGAAGAGAAACGGAGAGGAGCATTAAAAAAAAGCGTACGACGAGTTTCACGCGCCCAACAACAAAAACACCATAAGCAACAGCAACAAAAACAACAACACTTAGCAGCGACGGCAATAACAAAAACATCAAAGGCAGCAGCAAAACGTAAGGAAAATCTACAACAAGTGTGCGAAAATTAATTATTACTAAGTGTGTCACTAATTTAATTTGAAATCGCAGTTGCGCAGCGTGCAAATCATTTAAATTTATGCGACGTCTTTCGGGTAAAAAAAGTACGGAAGAAACGGAAAAAAACAGTGGCGGTCCCCCTTAGTTTTTAAGGGGGGCGGGCGAATCCAGTCTATTATGAACTTTTTGGGGTAGAACAATGCAAACACGAACGAAGGCTCAACAAATTTGCTGAAAAGGAATCGCAAGCGCAGCAGCAACAGCAACAAAGCGAAATCCAAGCGTCAGCAGCAAAGGCAAAAACAACAGCAACTATAACAGGGGCAACAGCAACCCACCACCGTTGTTCCCCTTTGTTGTTGTTGTCGTTTTTGTTATCGTCGGCGTCACCACCGACGCGACGCTCTTGCGGCCAGCGCACCCACCACCCCCAAGGATGCTCCTGTTTCTGACCCCCCCTTCTTTTCCTTTTGCTACGCCCCTGCGCCCGTGACCGCTGTTCCTCCTGCTGCTTCTTCTTATTCAACTGCTGCTGCTGACGTCGAAAAATGTATTTTGTTGCTTTTTTGTTGGCTGATAAATAAGCAGAAATACTTACTTTTTATGCTTTAGTGTTCAGGATTTCCCTATTTGGCAGGCTGATAAAAATCCGAATGTGAATGTTTCATATCCATAATGTCAAACTTTCCTAACTTAAAGGCACTAAAGCCCAACTATTTTTATTGCCAGTAGAGAACAATTTCTATAGATCCACAGACTGTATTTTATTTAATTTGCTTTAAGTTTAAAAGCAAAACTAAAAATTAGCAATTCAGAATAGTCTGTTCTAATATCTATTTTACAACGTTCAGCATACCTATAATTTTTCTATAATCACGTATATCAAACCCGTACAAAGCCCATAACAATAAAGTAAAGTAAAGTTTGAAAACCGAGTACATTGGCAAAACAGTAGAAAAATGTTTAAATTACCAAATAGACAACGTGTAAACTCAGTAAGTTCTATACCCCCAATTTGACCACGTTTCCTAGAAAGACTGCTTCTGTTGCATTGTTTTTTGTTGGGTGTTTCAACCGCCTCCGCCCTCTCAATTCTTTAGTTTGGTTCTTTTCTTTTCTTAATCATCTCCCTCAACTCGGCTCTCACCTACGTCATCTCTTCGCCTTCCAGCTGTGTTTGTGCAAATTAACCAAAATATACATTTCCGGCTACTCGCTGCCCCCTCACTGAGCAACAACTACAACAATACCAGGAACAACAGGAGCAGAGCAGCAACAACCGAGACCGCCCACCCCTTCGCTTCCATCGACCCAGCACATCATCATCATCATCATCAACAACTGGAGTCTGGAATCTGGAGACGGAGACCGACGACCGGAGTTACTTTGCCGCCTGCTGCTGGAGAGAGGAGCTTCTTCGGGAGGAACGCCTCGACGATATACAACCCCGACCCGGATTCATGGTGAGCCAAGACATCTGTTCGACCGGGCACACATTTAATTATAATTATTTGTTTGCTTAATTCGATACTCAACGCTGGCCCCGTCTCATGTGTCACATCCCCTGTTGTTCGGAAGGGTTTCTGGGCTAATGGAGGAAACTATTTTTCAATGGGATCCCAAATCAATTAAACAAACTGGGGGCGTGTGCCATAATCCGCTGTTATTGTTGGCCATATTCGGATTTCTGCTGCACATTTTTGGTCTGGTATTTAGGGGAAATACGATTATTTCACAGATAAGGTTTATTACCCATAATTAACTAAACCAGATCTTTATCGCTGCTATTGTAGATTCCTAATGAGTTGCCTTGTAGAGCAATTATAATTCCCTTGTTTGGAGCGGAAAATGTTGGACGAGGTGAATCATATGAGAAATTCTATAAGGGAATTGTGGGGGCTTGTAAAAACAAGTGTTTTCCATAATAAGTTAATAAGTACTGAAACTTACAAAACTGCTCCAAATCATTTATACCATTCTGCCGATGGTGCCAAACATGTTTACAGCTAAACTGCAAGTTTAAACTCTAAAACAAATATATAAAATTGGTTAGAAAAATTGACATATTTTGAAGTACTCATTTATAGGTTTGTCGCTTTATAACCACATTTGATTTACCCAAATCCAGTTTAATAGGTTTATGTTTATTGTACAACATTTACTCAGTAATTGTAGGCCACTTGGTTTTAAAATATTATAGTGCAGGCTTAAATAAGACATAATGAGGGATTACCAGTCATATGATACTCGTATTTACTGATTGTTCAAAAGGGATTTACGGATCTCGTTATCTTTTCTAATGAAGTGCCTTCTTTACCTTTAACCTGCTTTTCGCCAAGTGAAATCCCAGTCAGTTAGTTCTTGATTTCGAGGAAATTCCCAGACAATTTGCACCGCTAGCAGCGCTTATCTTTAGGCCCGAACCGCCCATTTCCACTTTTCCATTTGCTTGGCGCGTATGCTTATCTCAACTAACCAGCCCAGCCCACAAAGAGTGCGGCGGCGAGGCCATCCGATTAGAGACGCATTAAAAGGCTGGAGTGTTTAATTAATAAATAACGTGCTAATAATGCATTTAATAAAAAGCGAAACGAACACTGCGAACGGAAACTCAAGGGGCACAAATAACACGAATATTTCAGAAATACAAATACCAAATAAAAAACATAAAATGCTGTTGAGAAACGGATGAGTTCCCTTGCGGTTTTCCTGCTCTTCTGGTTTGGTATGGTTCGGTTTTGTATTTTGTGTTGAGCTTTTTTTATTTGGTGTGTTACACAGTTGCTGGCTGCCTTTGATGTCGGGGTTTTGTGCGCGCTTTCATATTTTATTATTAGTCATTTGGCTTATTTATAAGGTGCCGTTAAAGTTTAACTTTTATTAATCTGTTTTGTTGCGCTTTTAATTTATAAGTGCTGCTTATCTGATTGAATAGTCCGTCAGTCTGTCCGCGCACACTTGACTCGAGTGTGTCGATTTATTGATGTCGATTAGAAGTAAGCGGAAGGTTTCCCTCTTGACCAGAACCTCTGAGTTCGCCCTCTTTTAGCTCTGCTGTCCATTACATAAGCTAATTAATTAGCATTGCTGACTGGGCAGCCAAGTGGCTTGATCTAAGCCATCCCCTTGACTAAAGCTGTTTCAGAGTGTCTGGAAAACTTTGGCCCTAGAGGTGTGTACGTGAGATAAATTGGTGCGGTAGTAACTGGTAAATGAAAGGGTAAACACGCGGAAGTTTGTTAAACTCAAACCACTGTCTGACACTTGAAGAATATTGTTACTAATTACTAAGTGATTGGTTATCGATCACCTTAAAAATAAACTTGATAACTTGGAATATTGACTAGGAAACTAATTGGTTATTTTTGTGTGTAAACAAAGGAAAGTACCAACAGTAGGTACTTCTAATCAAAAAAACATATCTGATCTGCATCCCGCAGAAAAATGAAGCTTTCATTTAAAATAGTTTTGTTTAAATAATATTCTTTACATTACCTCAGGATGACATCGTTAGTCAAACACTGCCAGTGCTAAATCAATCCCATTTACTGTTTCTGTTACGTGTTAACTCCCATTTAGCGATAAGATAATTAGCACACAGAAAGCGCTTATTAAAGTGTACAATGCTGAGCGATGAATTTGTGGCTGTATGTTAGCGTATTATTATTATTTATACTCTATAAAGCGAGAAAAAATATGAATAATTAGCTCGTGTTTATCAGTGTAAAATCAATGAACAGTCCAAAATGGGTGAGAATATAATGCAAAAGCGTGTTAAATGGGCCCATAAATCTTTGGCGTTGTGTGTAATTCTATTAGCTGAGCGTAATAATACGGGCTGAGAGTTGGAGGCACATGCAAAGAGCTCATTTACAAACATACAGCCACTCGTGCAATGGCAAACAAACAAATAACGACAGTTCCATAAACATTAGAAAAAAAGGGACAACGACGAGGAACAAAAAGGCACGGGAAAAAGGGCCAGACACAGACACCCTGCACATCTTGCCGTCTCCAGACGAGACACATCCCGACATAAGTAAAACGAAACAATTTCCAAATGAAGCGCGGATAAGCCGCAAAATCCTTAAAATACTCGATAAAATTACATAAAACTAATCGCAGAAGCACACGCACACACACCAAGCCGCAGACTACAAAATTGACTGGATACTTAGGGCGGAAAAAGGGGGTGGAGGATGAGCAGGAGGAGGTTGATGTTGAGACGAAGGACGGCGTGCAAAATGATGAAGGTATCTACACCGACAATCTGTTTAACAACTTCATGAGCAAATCCAACAAATCGTATGAAACGAAGCCGACAGCAGGCCAACAGACACGAGCTGACGTCGTATTACGATTCGGACTCGGATTCGGATTCAGATTCGGTTTCGGATGCAGACGACCCCAGTTCGGATCGGTTCAGCTCGCATCGGATCGGGCCAATGAATTTGTACCTGGGGTGGACCTTGAATTCTGGGTTTATAGGAAACACGAAACAAGTAAAAAGTATACGAAAGAATTTATTGTTACATCTCCAAAATGGTCTACCAGTCTCATATTGCCACGCAATGATTGCAAGAATATCAGACAACCAATATTTATCGTGGTATATTCTAAACACATTTGTTGTACTTAATTTTCTTAATTCAACATGCAACTAATGGTAATATTTTTGGCCTATTTATATATTTTTTATGTAATTGAGGGCCTCTAAAATTTTCTCAGTCATCTCTGACTTTTTACTGCTTTTAAAAAATATTTGAAACGTATATTTTAATGTGCCATAGATCATATCGATGATGCCATGATTTTTGTCGTTATAAAACAGTTTTACAATCATGTCTTTTGTTTGCATATTGTAATGCAGATAAAGTCTAGGCTTTAAATTTGAAATTACTGTTTAAGAATGTTGTATTCAAGATTAGATCTTAACTGGTCCACCCTAAAGCGTGCAGGCTAGCAGAAAAGGGGAGTGCAGGGGCAGTGCTGTGGGTCGTTTATTTGGCTTTTGGAGCGTTGACTCGTCGTCGTCGGCTGTGCGATGATGATGATGACGACGACGACGACAGAGACGAGGCTGCTTGAATAGATGCTCAATCGTTTGGGTTGAATGAAGAAAAGCATGTGGAGTGGCGAGTGGAATGGAGTGAAGTGGCCTGAAGCCCGTGTCCATGTCCGTATCCGTGTGTGTGGCAGAGATTGGAGCATGAATAGGAATGCCGGGGAGAAAACGAGGAGGAGGAGTAGCTCCAGCGTGAGTGCCACTGCGGTGGCATAATGTTCTTGTTGATGTTGAGTAATGGGCATAACAACTGTAAGCTGCCCGTCCAGACAAAAACGAGAAACAGAACGGGCCTGGAACCTGACACAAACTTGGAGCGAGTCGAAAAATGTCCAACAGAAGCAAACAATTCCATTACCCGGGCGAAGAAAAGAGAAATTTGTTTTATGGGTTTTTGGTTAAATGCTTCGTCTCTCTCACTTCCTCGCCACTTTACCATCGGGCTTTGTTTGTTTCTTTCTGACTTCTGCAACGTCTGTTTTGACTTGTTGTGAAAATTTGGCTTTCACAACACGAATCCGGCTACTCATATACATACACACACACACACACAAGTTGTCTCTGCAAAGTGCCTACGAACATTTAATGGGATTTCCGTACTTGACACGAACCCTTCAAATGGACAGATGCACAGGCACACCGTTATTCCCTCAAACGGACGCTATATACGTAAGGTGTATGGTATATACCTATATATATGCCTACTTTATGCCCCTCGGTCAAAATGCCTATGACGAACTCAATTGGCCATGCTGAATGGTTAAAATTTGTGTGTGCGGCTCGTCTTGGTAATTAAATAGACTCCTCTCGAACGCCTTAATAGAGAGGCTTTTGTTTATGCCCTCGGGAATGCAGCAGAGCTCGGCAATTTCAGTTGGGTAATTTAGGTGATGTTTTTAGGGGTTTTCAAACGGTTAACTTAGAGGAATTTCATTTTGTTTATAGAGGGAGTTAAGGAATTTACAGAATTAATTTGGATTGAAATAGCCATCCACATGAATGGCTAGTAAATTTGTTGTTATATAGCATAAACAAGTCTGAACCCAAGTAATATATTACCACTAAAATATTGGGCAGGCATATTTGAAAAGTTTTGGTTTACTAATTTATTACAAAGAAAATAAATAACATATTCGGGGTTCGTTCAAATAATAAATGTATTATACCAGTGGTAATATTCCTCAAACTGAAACGAACAACCATGTATACACATATTTGTCAAAATTCTAGAGTGCACTTGAGTGTGTTAATTTAAAGGTCTAAACTGAATGAGTCATTGAATACACAAATGGGCTATAAATAAAATAAGCAAAATAGCCATACACAGAATACAGGAATACAACTGGGATCAAAGGTTCGGTTGAGTGGTTCAATTGAAAGTTCCGGTCGATTGGACAAGTTCAGAGCGATTGAACCCCACTCGAGTTGTGGCGAGTCAATTGAAAACTGAAGGATTCTACGTATTCCACCCTTTTGGATGGACGGATAGACGGACAGGCGGGGTCTCTCAATCACAGCCGGGGGTCTAATTCATTTACAGCCGTATCACTTAAACTTCACCATCGTGAAGCCCGGGAAACTAACCTAATAATCTCTCGCTGAGAGTCCCGTGTTGATAAGGCTAAAGTCTCGGGTTTTATGGCCACCCTTAATGTACAGTTGCGGCATAAGGGGCCCTTCGAGTTGTCTGTTTGACGCTCTTATTAACGCCAGCGTAGTTGTTGCCGCCGTAGCTGATGCCTATTTGTCAGTCAATTAGTCAGCTTATTGGCAAGCGATGATTACAAAGAGAAAAACAAGCTAAAAGCTAGCGCTAAGCGGGAGAGCCAAACAGCCGACAAGCCAACCGACGACGACTTTCAGTCGACAGCTTTTCCATTTCAAAATTATACTCGGCGCAGTGGGAGCAAGACAGCGAAAGACAGACGGCGAGTGCGAGCGGGAGGCCCCTCGTCGGATTTTCCCCACTTTTCCCGCCCCACCCCCCTTTGGGAGCCACTCGCGTCCGTTTAGCCGCGTGCGTACACACAATTTTCCGCTACTCATGCTACAAATTGTTTATTGAATTTCCTCTTTCTGTGGCCGTTGTCGATGTTGTTGGTTGTTACACTCGGAAAAAGAGGATGTTAAAATATTATTAAAAAACATATTTCTTAAATAATTGTATGGATTAGATACCCCTATGTATTTATCATCTAAGTTAAAAATCTGAATAGTGAATATTTAATCTTAATTGATACTTCAAATGTATGACACAGAAACAAGTGATTTTTCTCTGTGTTATTTGGCTGGTTCTGCCGTTGGTTTTTCAAGTTTATATTTTCATTTACATTTCTCGCTTTGTTTTCGTTTATGTTTATGGGCTGTTTAGAAAACAATTTTCAGCCACAGATAGGGGGCGAGTCGAAGTTGTTAATCCAGTGTAACTTTATAATATGCGATGACATTAATTGAGCGAAGACGGACGCGCCAGTTGAGACTGACAGCATTATTGGCCTTAAATTTACACGCAGGTCAGTTGGGGCCGAGAGGAAATTGAGTGAGGGGGCACACAAAAAGCCAAAGCTGAAACTGGTGCTGGAGCTGGAGCTGGAGCCAAACCGACACTGCTGACTCACAGAGTGAGAGCCAAGTACTCGAGAACGTCACGTAGTCAATGTACAGACTCTACCCGACTCGTGCCGTCTCTCTCGCTTGCTGTATGCCCCTCTCTTTCGCCAGACTGTGTGCCATAATTTGTGGTCTTTTACAGGGAAAAAGGGACTGCAGAATGGAAGGAAAGCAGGAAGGCAGGCAGGCAGGCAGGGAGTGGCAAACACACAGAGGGCACTTTTCGGTGGTGGCAAATGTGTTCGAGCCTTTCGTTTTGTCTTTTCAGATTTTATGGCTTTGTGCGTTTACAACGTCGCTTTTTGTAGTACATTTGTTTTATAACAGCCGCCCGACACCGCCAGCGGAAAGCCGCCGCAGAATAGAGCCACAGGCAGCGGGAGGAACAGCTTAGCACATTGCCAGCAGTTATTACACAATTTTTCCCCAAGCGCCAGCCAACCAGCAGCCCAAAAGGCAATGCACAGTGGAAAACTCAGTAATAAATCAGGGGAAAATCACTTTTGGGCAAAGATTAACTCGATCATTTTCCAGGGTGACTATATATTGCAACCCTTATTTCCGATTATGGGTAAACATTAGATAGCCTTAAAACCAATTGACTGAAAGGTATATGATCAGCATTCCCTTAAAAAGATAACATATGCCTTTGAAATCTAAACTTTTTGAACAAAGTAATAGATTAACATAATTTTCTTTCTGTGCTGCAGCCCGGGGCCAACGGCAGCAAACCCACCGACAATGCTCGGCATGTGGGGACTGGGGATTCAGTCGGTCGCGTGCCCTGCGCCCTGGTGGCCACCGCCACCTTGTGTGTGTTTATATGAAATTTTTCCACTCACGACTCCCCCATAAAAAAGTTTGCTGCCAGTTAAACCAACCAGCCAAGCAGTCAAAACCCAACCGGGCCAACAGGGCCAGGCCAAAGCCAAAGCCAAAGCAAGTAACCTGGTCCGATGTGGTGTGGTTTGGAATGGTGTGGTTGGGTATGGTACGGTATGGTGTTGCTGCTGATGTCGTTGATAAGTGTTGGCCCCAAACGCAGACCGTTTTTGAAGCACAGTGGAGCAGAATTTAAAATTCGGGGTTTCAAGTCGTTAATTTTCTGAAATTAAATCTTGGTGGTTTCAAACCTTAAAAGCAGATTTATAGAAAAAATTAATTTAATGACAAAGAAATGTGTTATTTTACTTGTGTCTCAAAACACTTTTTACAGCTTTATTGGACTTTGAGGGTGATCAGGAAATAAGTAGAACACTACTGATATCGAAATGCAATCCATTGATATCTCGGCTTTTACGCTGGGTAAACAATTATTCATAGGTAAACATTCATTGGCATATTTTACTGGCAGTCAAACAAAAGGCAGCAGAAATACTACAAGTATTCCTTCCCCCTGACGGTCATGAATATTTCATTTGTGTGCCTGTGCCGACGAGGGGATTACCGAATCGAATAGAATCGCTGTGACCACGGTGCAACCCCAGGTCCAGGCGAGGTCCTCCACTCCCAGGCGTTTGGTGCCCCTCCTCCTGGTCCACCTCCTCCGGGTTCGTGGTGTGGAACCCTCCTCGTCCCGCTCGCCGTTGTCGTCAGTCATTTAGGCGGCGTGTCGTGCCTTATTGAGTGTAAATCTGTCGACAATGCGCACATACACCTCTATATGAGTATATATATATCTGTTTTTTGCTTTTTTTTTGTGCCTGCCTGCCTGTACGGATTCGATGTGAGTCGGGCAGCCGTCGTCGTCGCTCCCGTAGCTGTCGCTGCATTTAATTAATTGATTTTAATTGCCATAATTTGTGTGCCGCTGCCACACAACCGCAACACCGCCGGCATTCCTGATGTGAGACGGCAGGCAACGCACTACGTCCGTCCGTTCATTTGCCTGTCATTGTGCATTGCCAATGATATTGATTCATAAGCAAATTTAATGATAATTCCTCTTGTTGGGGTTGCCATCGGAATGGGTATGCTATGGTATGGTATGGTATGGGTATGGTATGGTTTGGACGGATGGGAGATGGATGGGGGTTGGAGGGCGGAGGAGGCTTACTTAACCGCCTCGTTACAGTTATTCGCGGACTTACTTGAGCGGAAAATCTGTTTACAGCTGCACGCACACTCGAGAGACAGCGCCAGACAAGACGAAGAAACAAAAAACCAGCCAGTGATGGCTTGAAAAAATTCAGTAAAAACTGAAGAGTTGAGTTATGTGGGAAACCGAAGCTGGGAATACCCTAAGGCGCTGTACAGATTGACCTAAAACCGTTTAAAAAACAAAAGCAAGTTATAAACATTTTAATAATACGATAGAAATATATTTTATGGGTGTTTTTTAAAGGTAGGCTTTTCCATTTAATGATAAAGTGCTTTTTTTATCTATAATTTGGTGTAAAAATAACTTAAATTTTAAGTTTTCTATAGCATTCTAGCTAAACAATATGAGTATAAAGCCTCTATAACTACAAACAAATGGTTGAAACTAAAAAACCATCTGTTAAAGGGTAGAATAAATGAAGCAGCTAAGCAAACCAAAGCGAAAAGCATACCGAAAGCAAAACCATTCGTCTGTCAGTGCCACAGTCCAATCCGCCAACCCAACCCACCGAATCCCCCGGGGTCTGTACGCGGCGGTCGCATTAACATATGCAGGCGATTAAGTGGCAGAGAGACTCAATCGTCCGACAGCATAAACCCCTAATTTCCCGGCCCCGTGAGCCGTGTGCCCCGACCATTCCCTCCTCGCATAGCCACTACATCGTTCGCACATTACACGGCATTATTTTTATGGATTATTTATTTATGCATGTTGATATGAACTTCATCGCTTTATTGAAAATGCTTTTTATGCCCCACCACTTGCCCCTGTTGCCGTGCGTTCTCTCTCTGTTTGAATCCTTTTTTTTTAACGAATTTTCTCTGTGTGCTTGGATCTATTTGCAGTTGAATTTTCATATCGTAGAGGGCATAAAAAGGCTTAACACTGGACCGGAAGCGTGTTTTTAAAGGGTGATGGCGGCCTCCACTCAAGGAGAAATTCGAGTGGGTCCCGGCCACCAGGTAAACGATGTCTATGTACGTACATAACTCTCACAAATCAGAAATTCAGCTCACGGTAACAAAAAAAAAAAAAAACAAAAACAAAGAACTACAAAATTTAACAATTATGCAAAACGAAAATATAGCCCTTATTTCTTTTGTTTTGTGCAAAAGTTGTAATTTATGATCCTTTGTTCTTCCACTTGAATGTCTTCAACATAAAAAATCGTTTTTTTTTTCGTGTAGCCTTTGAGAGAACGCGAAATAAATAAAGATTTAAATGGTCCTGTTTCCGTTTTCGATTTCAATCAAGTTCGGTGAAAACGGAACTTACATATAAAGACTTTGCTTTTTCTGGTCAATTATTAATACTAGTATTTGTTATTCTGCTTCAGTTATTTTTAAACATCTAAATTTCTTAATCTTTTGAACAAGTCTTTCGTTTCTGTTAATAATTTAATATTGACACCCAAGTTCTTTATATACTTATATATGAAACCAGAACTTATCACTATTCGATTTGACCGTTTTCTTCCAAAAGGCTACAACATAGTGCATATCTCTAAATATTTCGGTTATTTTTAGCATAACCTTTTCAAAAGTATCCCCTGTATAAAACGCCTAATCCCTGTAAATAATTCGTAGTTCTAGCGTTTATGCAATTGGCTCTTTATAGTTCGAATCCTCGACGAGTAGATGTTGACCCAGATCCAGATCCAGACCCCAATCAACTTCCTTGCTCCTTTTCCCAAAATCCGTTCGAGGAAATCCGTAGCACACATTATACATTATTCATCCATAATCATGCATTAGACTTAAGTTTGTGTATCATCTCGTGGGTGCTGGTAATCCCCCCGGATTGCCGGCACTAGCTGTCTTGCCTGTGGTGTGTAGTGTGCGTGGTGTGGTTGTGTGACTAACCCATCAATCGTTCTCCTGGAGTTTTTGAACTAATCCCGAAACTTTTCGTTTGTCTCCTATGACGACTGAAGGCAAAACTGCCCGATTATAATCCAATCTCAAGCTTCCCCATCGACAAGGAAACCGATGAACGTGAACTAGAGGAATCAAGATGGAGTCCAGGCGTTGTGGCCGATGGCGACTTGTTAATGTTTCTGCGTGCGGCTCGCTCCATGGCTGCATTTCAAGGAATGTGTGATGGCGGACTAGAAGACGGTTGTTTGGCTGCCAGTCGCGACGACACCACAATAAACGCACTCGACGTGGTGAGTCTCCTGATTCCGTGATTTCGAGATTCCGAGATCCCGACATGATATATGCATATTCCTTGGCTTTGTTTAATCTATGAACTCTTTTTTTTTTAGCTCCACGATTCTGGCTACGATCCAGGCAAAGCTCTACAAGCGCTCGTAAAGTGCCCCGTATCGAAGGGCATCGACAAGAAGTGGACCGAGGACGAAACAAAGAAGTTCATCAAGGGTCTGCGTCAGTTCGGCAAGAACTTCTTCCGCATCCATAAGGACCTGCTGCCGCACAAGGACACGCCGGAGCTGGTCGAATTCTACTATCTGTGGAAGAAGACGCCCGGCGCGAACAACAACCGGCCGCACAGGCGGCGCCGCCAGAGCGCCCTGCGCCGCAATCGTGTCACGCGGGCGAACAACAGCAACAGTAATACACCTCCCAAGAAGGAGGACACACCAGAACCACAAACTGCGACGACGGCGACGGCGGCGGCAACCGCGGCGTCCGAGACGGCGAGTCGCTCCTCGCCCGCTGTCTCCAAGGAGGAGAACAGCTCGCTCACCGAGGACGACGCCAGCGAGTGCGACAGTGATTCGAGTCTGACCCACAAAAGGGATGAATCACCCTCAAGGATGAGGACGCGAAACAAGCAACAGAACAACAACAACAACAGCAGCACCACCACCAGCAGCAGCAGCAGCAACAACAACGCGGCCGGAAACGGTGGCGGCAACGCCACCTCCATAAGCAGCGGTTCAACGGGCGGCGGTGCCGCTGGCGGCAACAGCTCGTCCAAGGATCAGTCAGCCAACGCCGTGGCTAATGGCAAGCGGCCCAAGCGGGGCTCCGAAACACCGGACGTTGCCGGCGGAGCCTCGGTCGACAGTCCCAAGACGCCGACGAAGGCCGTGGCCGAGAGTTCGGCCAACAAGCGCAAGGGCGGCAAACAGGATACGCCCAACAAGAAGAAGCGGACGGAGCAGGAGGCCTGCGAGCCGAGTGCCCAGGAGGAGAGTGCCGTCAAGGAGAAGCGCAAGCGGCCCGATAGTCCGGTGGAGAGCATGAACTCGGACAGCCGACCGGACTCGGTGCTCGACGACGGCGAGTCCAATACCACGGACACCACCACCGCCGAGCAGCAGTCCACCAAGGACAGCAAGGAGACGGTCAGCTGCAAGGAGGAGCGCGACATGGTCTCCAATGACCTGGAAGCCAAGGCCGAGGAGAAGGCCATCAAGGCAGAGGCTCTGGCCGAGGACAGCAAGGACAGCGCCATCAAGAACATGGACGAGGAGACGAACATCCAGGCGCCGATCGGCGTGGAGACGAGTTCGGCCGAGGGCGTCAATGCCAACGCGGTGGCCAATCCCGTGGCGCCGCCCATCACCATGAAGGTGCCCACAATTGCCACTGTGGAGGCGCTAAATGCCTCTGTGGATCGCAAGGAGGCCATCGAGAAGATGGAGTCCTGCGACAGCGATCCGGAGATGCTCAAGAAGCTGGCCACCATCAAGCAGGAGGCTTCTCCGCAGCAGCAGCAACAGCAGCAACAGCAGCAGCAGCAACACATGCAGCAGCAATCGCAGCTGCAGTTGCAGCAGCAACTGGCTCCAGTTGGCATCCAACCGCCGCCCGTGTGTGCACCCACTGAGGCGGTGTACATCAAGAAGGAGCCCATGGAGGACTCGATGGACGCCACCTGCAATCAGAACAGCAACGAGCCGCAGGACCTGAAGGTCAAGATTGAGATCAAAAACGAGGACGCTCTCAAGCACAGTGTGGGTGGAATGCCGCCCTCTGGTCCCGGTGGACCACCTTCGGCCCTGCATCCGCTGTCCGGAACTCCTGTAGAGAGTGGACAGCCGGAGCCGCTGCATCTGCAGCACATGCCCCATGGACCGGTGCCGACACAACCGCCACCCGGCTACCTAATCGATGGCCAGCTGAAGTACGGACCGCCGGGACAGGGTGTGCCGCCACAGCCACCACAACTGCACAGCGATGCGGTGGGAGGAGGCAACGGAGCACCGCCTGGAGCGCCGACCACGCCGCAAAAATATCCGCCCGAGATGGAGATGAAGTTCGCTCCCCAAGATCTCAAGTACCCGCCGCCGCCGCCCCTGGACGCACTGAAGTACAGCCAGGAGATGCAGGCTGCGGCGGCTGCAGCAGCTGCTGCCGGCAAATACGACATGAAGTACATGATGGAGCAGCAGGGCAAGTATCCCGTCGAGCTGTCCGCTGCCCATCAGCCGCCAGGAAAGCCGGGCTACCAGGATTCGCTAAAGATTCCCGATGTCAAGCCCGCTTTTGGCCACCTGCCGCACAACGTTGGCTCGCCTCTGGATGTGGCCCATAAATACGGACCGCCGCCCACGTCGCAAGACTCCCAGCAGCAGCAACAGCAGCAGCAGTCCCAACCGCCGGCGCACCAGTTGCCGCCGGGAGCCACGCCGCCACCTGGCATCGCCATGCCCAAGCCGCACTACCAGCACGACGTGCAGACGCCACCGCTGGGACGTCCGTTCGAGCCATCCGGCCTTATGCTCAAGTATGGCGATCCACTGGCGGCCAAGTACGGTCCGCCCCAGGATCTGAAGTACCCGATGCCCCCGGTCTCCTCTCAGGCGGGACCAGCGGACGTGAAGCCATATGGCGGGGAGAACCTGATCAAGTCCTCGCCATATGGACCGCCGCCGGAGAGTCCAATCGACGCCTCGGCGCGCTCGACGCCTGGTCAGGATAGCCAGGGCAGCAATAGCAATTCGCAGCCGCCGTCGATGCCGCCGCAGCCGCAGCAGTTCCAGTCGCCGCATCCTTCGCCGCACATGCCTTCGCCAGCCGGCGGTGGCCTGCCACCGGGCATGCATCCGCAAAATCTCATCCATGGCCCGCCACCAGGTGCATCGGGTGCTGGTGGTGGCGGCGGCGGTGGTGGTGGTGGTGGTGGCCCCCAGCCGCCTCCGCCGCCCACGTCGCTGCATCAGCCCGCGCCCACGGCTCCAGGTCCGCCCAGTCTGCAGCACGGATTGCATCCTGGTCACCCGCAGCACTCGCAGCTGTCGGTGGCCTCGTCACTGCCGCCGAGCTCGATTGGAATTCCACCGACGCTCTCGACAATGGCGCCAACGCACATGCACCCGCACCTTCACCCACATGCGCATCTGCAGGGTCTGCATCGGCCGCACGACTTGCCGCCCAGCATGCATCCGCATGCGCCCATGCCGCTCTCACTGCAGGGACATCCGCAACACGGTCACGGATTGCCGCCCTCGCACGTCCCCCAGCAGCAGCAGCAGCAGCAGCAACAACAACAGCCGCCCGGCGGACCAGCCGGCACGGTGCGAACTCCATCACCTGCCCAGCAGCCGCCGAGATCCCTGCACGATCCGCAATCGTCACGAGAGCCGCCCAATTCGCAGCCCTCGACCACGATGGCGAGTTCGGGTGGTGGTCCCGGCGGGCCCGGTGGACCGCCGCCGCAACAGTCGCCGCACGCGCATCGCACATCGCCGCTGCCCGGCCTGTCGGGCAGTGGACCGCCGCCGCCGGGACTCATCGGCCATCCGATGGCCATACACCCGCACCTGGCACACCTGCCGCCCGGCCATCCGGCCCACGCAGCGTTGGCCCATCCGGGACACCATCTGCTGTCGCACTCGATAGCGGGCCTGGGACCTGGCGGCGGACCCATCGCCTTGCTGGCCGGACCCGGCGGACTGGGAGGCATCCCAGAGTCCGCTCTAAGTCGCCGCACCCCGCCCTCACACCTGCCACACTCGCACGCCTCCTCGGCCCCGCTGACGCCGCACTCGGTGGCCAGCATGACGTCCACCAGTATGTCGCTGACCACCAGCACGGTGCCCTCGTCCGCCTTTAGCCGCGCCAGTCCCAGCGTGCAGATCTCGAGCGGTGGTGGCGGCGGCGGCGGCGGTGGTCCTGGTTCTGGACCCGGAAGCGTTGGTCCCGGCGGATTGCCCAACTCTTCGGCAGCGGCGGCGGCAGCTGCTGCAGCGGCTGCCCATAGAGCGGCCTCGCCGGCGTCCAGCGTGAGCAGCCTGAGTCGCCAGAGCCCGCTGCATCCGGTGCCGCAGTCTCCGCTCAGCCATCATCCCTCGTCGTCGGCCTTGTCGGCCGCGGCAGCCGCTGTGGCGGAACGGGACCGGCATGCGCTGATGCGACAGCAATCGCCGCACATGACGCCGCCACCGGTGTCCAATGCCTCGTTGATGGCTAGTCCGCTGAGCAAGATGTATGCTCCTCAGCCGGGTCAGAGGGGTCTGGGGACCTCGCCGCCGCCGCATTTGCGGCCGGGAGCCTCGCCGCCGGTCATCCGGCACCCGCAGATGCCCCTGCCGCTGCCACTGATTGCGCCTGGCGGAGGAATACCGCCGATCGGAGTGCATCCGGGACAGTCACCCTACCCGCATCCGCTGCTGCATCCCTCGGTCTTCTACTCGCCGCACCATCACCCCTTCAACTCGCCCTACGGCTATGCGCCCTATGGTCCTGGATTCCCGGCCTACATGAAGCCACCGCCTCAGCCAGGTCAACTGGATCCGGCCGCCGTGATGGCTGCCCACCATGCTGGTCTCCAGGGACCGCCGCCCCAGCAGATGCGCCAGGATGAGCAGAATGCAGCGGCCGCTGCGGCAGCAGCTGCTGCCGAGAAGCAGCATCAGGCCGCTGCAGCAGCAGCAGCAGCTCAACAGCACAAGGCACCGCAGCAACAACAGCCGGGTGGAATGCCACCCAATAAGCCGCCGACGCCAAAGACGCCGCAGGGTCCTGGTGGTGGAATGCCGCCGGGGATGGGCGGACCGGGAACACCGACGGGCCTGCCGCCAGGTGCCTATCCAGGCAGTCATATGCCGGGATATCCGCAGGGACCGCCTCACGGATCACCCTTTGCTCCGCAAGATGGTCAGCCACATGGCCTGAAGCCCACTTCGCACATGGACGCCCTGCGAGCGCATGCACACTCGGCCAACTCGGCGGGCATGGGCGGAGGACATCATCCAACGGAGCCATGTAAGACGGGGCAGTCTCGAGAGTTGTCAACTAAATGTAAACTAAATACCTTTTTGCAGTGCCCATCGATATTGAGCCGGATCCGGAGCCAGAAATCCCTAGTCCCACGCACAACATACCACGTGGTCCCAGTCCCGAGGCCAAACCGGACGACACCGAGTGCCATCGCTCTCAGTCTGCCATGTAAGTGTTCTTTTTATGGCTAACTACATTTGAAACTTTGAACTGATTAATTGTTCTATACGTTTACAAACACAGATTTGTGCGGCACATCGATCGCGGGGATTACAATTCGTGCACGAGAACGGATTTGATCTTCAAGCCGGTGGCCGACTCGAAGTTGGCCCGCAAGCGTGAGGAGCGCGACCGTAAGCTGGCCGAGAAAGAGCGTGAGCGGCGTCAGGTGAGTGGAGGAGATGCCAGTTAAATAAGTTGAGCCAATCTAAAGCGATGTTGGATCCCCCACAGCAGCAGCAACAACAGCAGCAGCAGCAGCAACAACAGCAGGCGGCAGCCGCTCAGCAGGCGGCGCAGCAGGCCAAGATGAAAGCGGAGCTGAAGCCACCGTATGCGGACACACCTGCCCTGCGCCAACTGTCCGAGTACGCTCGTCCCCACGTCGCCTTCAGGTGAGTCGCGCGGCAATGGAGCCACCACACTCCCCGCGGAATCTTTCGTCTGGTGTTAGGATTCGGTTCAGTTGTCTTCTGTCGTTTGGCTCTTTCTGAATTAAACCCCCTAATGGGAGTTCAATTAGTCGCGTTCGTTGATTGTAACTATTTTCATTCGATTCAATTTCAGTCCTGTTGAGCAGATGGTGCCATATCATCATCCAATGGGCCCCATGTACAGAGAGAGGTACAGTACCAAAGCCTGCCAAGCCCTCAATTCAATGCGAAAGCCAATATACACACTACCATTAACCCTCCTCTCACGCCTCGCAAAAATTCCATCCGCACCTCACAAAAACTCGATTCACCGATCACCTCCTCATTTTCCCATACTAAACAGTGCATTTCAGGATCTTACGACTAACCCAATAAGTTGCAAACAAATTTTGTTTAACCTAAGCTAAGGGTCTATTTTCAATGGAGCTAATATGGTTATAAATTAAATTAAATTCTCAAACCCTCTCTAAATTTATTTTATAACAATAACTTAATTGGGCTTTTAAGGATTCTGAAACGCACTAACATTTCCATCAATTAAACACACGAACCATTGTGAAACGCACCCACATTTCCCCAGCTTAAACCCCGCCAGCTTTTTTAAAAATTCGATATATTATGCGCACGTCAAAATTTATGCTTGAGCTATTTATCATTTGCAATATAATGCCTACCCCAAGCCACGATTCCCCAACAAAATAACACATATGCCAGACTTTAATCCTGGTGCTCGTACTAAATTGTTGAATACTTGCAGGGAACTGGAGGAGATCAAGAACGCACAAGCTGCTGCGGCGAGCCAATCCCGGCTAGATCCGCACTGGATGGAGTACTATCGACGGTAGGTTGAAGCATCTCAGATATTATATGACATCAAATTAATTATGTAGATCGATTTCCTCCAACAATCCCTACAGCGGCATCCACCCCTCGCAGTTCCCGCTGTACGCGAATCCGGCGATATCGCAGATGGAGAGGGAGCGTCTGGGAATTCCACCGCCGCACCATGTGGGGTTGGACCCGGGCGAGCACATGGTGCGTATGGTAGGCTACACTTCTTTTTTACTCCACTCGACTCATATTCACAAAATCAATCGTATTTGGAACGTCAAGCGATCAAACGAACCGCCAAACCGAACCAATCACTATGTCCACTTGTCAGCTCACCTGTTAACCAGTCCAGTGTCCAGTACCCGCATAAAAACCCAAAGCACGCGTACAAATCCTGTCATGCTGTTCATGTCCTCTGTGCCTGTGCCTGTGCTAACCATTACTTGCCATGCCATGCTTTTTGGCCCCCTCCTCGATGGGGCACCTAACCAAAATAAAACAAATCGAAACGACATCTGTCGCCATCTAACCCGCATTACGCATCGTTACATACAAACTCTGTTAATCTTCTGTTGGCGTCCACGCCCACGCAGCACTGGCTCTTTTGAAACTTTCTACGATATTCAATAATTTTCAGATACGATTGACGAGAGAATATCATGCACACTCTCATACTCATTTACATTTGCCTTTGCATCCACAGCCGCAACCACCGGAGGCCGGTTTCCAACTGCCACGTGAGTTTGTATAGCCCTCGAGGTTTTAGCCCCGTTTTATACGCCCCACAGAACATTGAAAATAACTAATCTACCCTTTTTTTTTCTCCCTTCTCTCCCCCCATTTACATTTCAGCGAATGTTGGCCAGTATCCGCGGCCAAATATGCTTATACCTAGGGAGCCGCATTCGGATGTCCTGCTGCGCATGTCCTATGCCGACCAACTACAGGTTTCCCAATTCCCCAAGCCCGCATCCTAACTCATTAATTACATATATACAGTATTTACAGGCCGCCGAGTTCCAGCGACAGTCCCTGCATGATCAGTACTTCAGGTGAGTTTCGTTGCGCATAGGCAAACTTAAGTTGATGGGTGTCTTAAAAGTCTGTAACACATTTTAAATAGAGGGTAAGGCTACAAAAATCTCTTGGATTTTGTAAAGATATTTTGTGACTAACCTAATAAAAAACTTCAACCTTTTTCTTTTATTCTTTGTTTATTGTCAAGTAAAACATTTAAGAAATATAATAGAAATAAAATAATTACTTACTGTTACAGACTTTAAAGACACATACCAGATGATAAGAATCGATCTATATTCAGTAACATATAAGATTACAAAGATGGGATTGATAAGATAAACATGAATTTGGCAATTGTATTGTGAAAATCAAAAATTAAGTTAGGCTCATCCAACCCATTTATAGTTGTAGTTTATCACCGTTTATTTCGTGATTGTTTATGTTGCATTTATGTTACTGTTTTTGTTTCCGATTCCGTTTCCATTTCCGTTTGATCATCGCCCGCCTTCTCTCATCCCCACAGACAACGGCCCAGATAAGTGGACAGACAGCAATTGTAGAGAGCAAGCAACTGAACAAAGACAATACTCGGGCCGCGGCCGTGAGGAACTGCTTTGTGTGATTTTTGTGTTCAAGCGTTTACATTTTGTTTTCCGCACATACAAACCCCACATACTCACCACAAAAAACCATCAACATCAACATTATCAGCAGAGACGACGTCAGCGTATGGCTCAAAAATCCAGAAACCAGAAAACCAAGCGACTCTAAGTTGCGCAACGCCTTGTCACGTTTTTATGTAAAAAGTTAGTAAGCCCGTTTTTGATTTAACTCATCCTCATGCTCGAGCTCATTTAGTAAATGTTTATCCTGTGATTATCCTGACTGTACTCTCGATCTAATATGATATTTTGATGAACAGGAATCAGCTGCGTTAATCGGGAGTGGATCGTGGATCGTTCCAGCTGCACACACAACACTTCACACCAGACACTTACTGACCAAGGCATCCAGAATCAAAAAGCAGAAACCAACTACAAAACTAAACTAAACAAAACAGGACACGATGGTCGCAATATCTTAAGTACCCTCTTCATAGTGTATAGTGTTAAATTCTTAAACCTAAGCGAGGCGAAGGAGCATGTTAAATACGGTCTAGACTTATTAAGGCAATGGAACAAAAACGAACTTGGCACACAACAATTTTTATTGAGGTCTTCAAACTGCTTATAGATATGAATGTGCTGCACTTCGACGTCAAGAAAAGAAAAGAACTAACTATTAAGCTATACAAACCAATTGATTTAGACACGATGATAACTAAGCAAAACCAAAACACAAACTCAAACGCACTTGCTGCAGGAGGCAAGGTACATAAATTAGTATAGTGAAACGATTTCGGATAGCAAGGATGAAGCAGATAGTTCATACATATTCGAGTGTACTGTACAAATGGATTCGGAGATAGATTTTCTTTTTATAAAACATTTTGACACTCTATCCAATAGATACGCCTAACGCCTAATATTATTTAAATGTACTTCCAGCCACAATTGAACTATTTAATGTACGATTCATATAAGCTTGCTGCTTTCGACTTTTTAGCTAAAATAAAATGGTAAACGAATCACGCCAATGCCTAGATTTCGCTTTTTGTAGTCCCCATTTGTGTTAGCCCAGCAAGCAGCTTTGCCTACCAACTAACCTGCTACTCATTATTTATTATTTTGCTATGACTAGAGTATTATAGGGGCGCGACAGATGGAAGTTTGTAAAAAGTGCATAAAAAATAACGAAATAAATGTATGGGTATTATGTAAATGATTTGATGATGCTGCTCTCAAACCCAAAAGCACAGCACAGCGATCATAAGTGTGTCATGCAAGCATTTGAAGCAGCTGTAATTTCGAGTGCTTAATTTAAATTAGTAATTTATACAATTTATTATACGCAAAACCATGCATTAAATTCACACAATATATAACAAGATTTAAATGTTAAGGCCAACGAACCACGAAGGTGGATTGATGGAATGGCAAAAAAAAAATGCGTGAATTATACTAAACAAAAAGAGAAAAACAAAGGAAACATATTTTTAAATACAGTTTTTTATTTCACATTTTGAATATACACATTGATATAAATATATTGTAGCTATATATATACTAATTATGAAAGTTTATTGTAGGAGTCTTGCAAGCATATTCAGTGGCACACAAACGACAAGAAAAAACAAAACAAAAACAAACCAGATTTTGCGTAGTTAACATTTAAGAACTGTAAAGTGAAGATCCATACATATTTATATATATACAAAAAAAAAAAAAACAACAAACAAATGCAGCTATATTATTGCAGCTATATTACTAAATAAATTATAAAACAAAAAAAATCATACACAAAAGATAAATTATTGAAACCTGTAAAAACTAAGTAAAACAAAATAAATTTAGTTACATTAGTTACCAAATACCTGAAAAAACTCTTTGGAAGTGGTAACAAACGGGTTTCAGTTGAAAATTTACGTTTTTAAATGGGATTTCCTAAGATGGTTCAAACAAATTTCGATTTTGCAGCATCTTTATTCAGATTTCATTAAAATAAAACAAACTTTTCGTCTTTAGATATTCAGTATAACAGTTTATTTTTGCTAAGTAATACAATTCCATAAAATCTATTAGTTTAAGGGGGGTCTTAATAAAGACTTACTAAATTAGTTGAATAAATTTTAATCAGTGGCTTGGTAATGAAAATAAATTATCCATAAAATGCGTTCGTTGCGGAATACGAAAAACAATAAATACATGCAATAATAAATTAATGTAACTAGGGATCAAGTAGTTATCTAGACAAGGCGGGCAGATGAGCAGGTGGCCCCGGAAGTGGCACTCTGGGGTTCCGCTTCGATTCCATTGCCAATCCCCGCCAGACTAACTGCTTTTCCGGTGGCGCTGGCCAGAACTCGCTTGTAGTTGCTGCTGCATTGCGAATCCGCCACCGATCGTCCATCGCCCTCATCCCGCCGACAAAGATCAACGGAGTAGGGCGCTCCGGCCGTGGCCGTGTGAATCTCCAGGCGACGCTCCAAAATGTCCGCCGTGGTCAGCTCACTGGCCTGCACCAAACTGCTGTCCGGCACATTGCTCAGCCAGGGCTTGAGGATGCTCTTCTTCTGAATGGTGGCTGCCTTGCAGCGGCAGATGACTTCAGCGGGCTCACCACAAATGGGGCAGGTGGCTTCAACGGTGGGAACAGTGGATGAGCCCTCCACTTCATTGCCACCGCCACCCACCACCACCACCGTGGGCATGGTGGCTCCCGATGAACTGCCACTTAGCTCCAGTTCGCTGACAGCATCCACTAGAGTTTTGAGGCTAGCACCCGATTGTGGGCAGCCCTCGCCCATGGAGACCACCTCCTGCTCCTCGTAGTTGGTACTCAACAGAAGCTTGGACAGCGGTGGAGCCAAGCCCAAGCCCAGATTACGTTCGTGATACAGCTCTGAGAGGCTGGGTGTCAGCTCGCGGTTCATGTGCCGCATCATGCTGTCCTGCAGGCACTTGCCATTGGACTTCGAAGCTGGCGGAGATTCCTCCTGCTTGGCTTCATTTAGGAGATCCGCATCCGATTGGGAGAAGTACAAGCTGGATGGATTAAAGACCACATTGGAGACCTCCTCCTCCTCGGGCAGTGCCAGTGGTTTCCTTGTGGCTGATCCATTGCTCATGGCATTAGCATTACCTCCTCCCGGTGCACTTAGCTCCGTCCGCACACTCAGCCTGTCCATGAAGAGAGCATGCTCCTTGTTAACCCGTGCTGCCAGAGAACTTTGGGCACTACCCAACTTGATCTTCGGTTTGCTACGTCCTCCGGCGCCCACGCCCAGATTGTGATACGTTGGTGGCCGTGGCGGTGGCAATGGTGGCGGCTGTTGCGGCATTGTCGCACTTACTCCACGTCTCAGGACGGTCGCATGTCCGGATCCCTCCCAATCCGTGGTGCTGCTCGCCGAACTGGAGCTATCAGGCCTCCTGCTCATGGCGGTCGCCGCTGGAGGCGCTGCAGCCACCGAACTGGTCTGCGAGTACAGACTTCGGATGCGCGTCTGATGAGCCAGTGCCAGGGACAAGCTGGGATCGGTCACGGGTGGACTCGGTGTGAAGGCGGCATCGCTCTCGCCGCCACCACCAGGTCGGGAAACCCTCACCGGAGCCCGCATGCTGGCATAGCCCAGGCGGGGATTGGACAGCCCAAAGCCCGGCTGAGTGGCATAGCCATCGGACAGGGAATGCTCGCTGTCGGTGGTGTTGGCCAGACTGGAATCCAAGCCGCCGCCGCCGGCGCCACCTGCTCCGCCGATGGCTTCAGTACGCCCGCCATCCGGTTCGCCGCGACGTCGCACATACGAGATGAAGGCGCTGCGTGGATGCAACGGAAGTGGCGCCTTGGTCGCCCCGTTCACGGATGGCGTGCTGCTGGCCACAGGCGGAGCAGGTGGGGCATCCAATTCCGTTTCGGCCAGGGACTCGCAGCTGCTGCTGTGCTCCGAGTCGGGATCCAGGCCCAGATTCTTGGGAGCCTCGCGGGTGTCTAAATTAAAAAAAACCATAATAATCAATATATGGTATTTAACATAGGTCTGGATTACTTACCAAACAGGGCGAGTAGTGCCTGCAGCACAAATTGGCACTGCCGTCGATTGGCCTGCTTTCCCGTGCGCAGGACCACCTGATCCGCACCCACCTCTGTCAAATCGAAGCCCACGGAGGCGAGCAGCTCATGGCATCCAGCCACGCGCCACAGTCTTACACTCAATGGCATCTCGATGAAGCAGGTCTCGGCCATCACGTCCGTCTTGATGGAGCTCGAACCGGAGCCGGATGGATTTGAGCCCGGAAACTGGGCCAGGATGTTCCGCACCACGGCTATAATATCCTCTGCATGCTCGGCACTGTTCACATGGACCAACTTGGCCAGCGCCTGCAGGGTGGCCGGGGTCAGGGCGAGCAGGGCCTGGAGACTGGCCGAGCACTGGGCCAGTTGCTCCTCGGGATCCGCCTGGGGGAAGAAGACGCTGGACGGAATCCCATTGGCAGCCGGCTCGATGCGGAAGCCCACAGCCATTAGCAGATCCTTCCAGCCGGCAACCGGACCCGCCTTATTCTCGATACTTTGCTGCGTGGTGTACATGGCGTTCTTTTGGCCGCGATGAATCCGCTGCAGACTCTTCTCCACCAGATGCAGGCAGACGCGGAGTGCATCCCGACAGCGCTCCGGCGTCCGCAGCAGTTCGCAGAGGGCATGGCGCAGGGCCACCTTGTTCGACAGCCGGACATTGCTGCCCACCAACAAGAAGCCAGCCCAGTTGGCTGGATGGGCAAAGTGCTTGGTGTGCTGCACCGTTTGCATGGCTTCGGCCAAGGCGCTGAAAGAAATCAGACCACATCATCAATGATTATCATTCCGAATCAAAAGAATACACTAGCTGATGGATTTTTTCAAGCGAATTAAGGCGAAACAAATTTTCATTCTGTTTAATTATTAAATAAAAATTTTTTAGAGAAATAAGAACAAAATAATTAAAAGTTTAAATTTTTGTTTTGTTTTGTACAAAAGAATGCCTCACAAAAAAAGTTATCCGACATTAAGTGATCATATCAATCAATAAATTGTGATTTTTTTAACAGCTTTTTCGTTCTGTTTCTCTACATCAGCGATCACCGGCAGAGCAGCGGCAAAGCACTTAATAATACAGCTATAGTAGTGTCTATTGATCTATTAAAAATCTAGTTTTATAGAGATCTATTTCTTTCTATAAACTAGTGTTACAACATACCGGGCTGCTCGGGCACCTTGCAACAAGGCGGAGTAGAAGGCGCGCAGCAGTATCTTGGCCGCCGTTTCCGGAACTGGCCATAGCGAAATGAGCACTGCTCCGGCTCCAGCCAGAAGCCAACTGCCGGCCAGCTGGGCCACTCCGGCACCGGTGATGGGCTCCACGGAGTGATAGGAGCTCAGCACCACCAGACGGGCACTGAGACGCAGCTGACGCAGTTCACCGGCGGCCAGGGTGAAGTCCGCCAATTGCGGTTCATGTGGTTCCTTTTGCTCCTGCTGTTCGGCGGTGACCACATCGCCGGGACTCAGGACGACGGCACCCGATTGCCAGCTGATATTGGCCGCAAAGTGGACGCACTCGGCGGAGGGCAATTCGGCCAGTACGGACTCCTTGGTGGCATTGGAGCCGGCCAGGGCGGTGGCCTGCAGCATATCGGCCACCATGGCGGCCTCCTGCAGAGCTGCCGGAGATTCGGCTGCAGCCCAGCCCCAACGTTCCGCCAGGCTGGATGGAATCCGAGGACCGCCCACCACCAGCGCTTTGGGTGCACGAGCTCGATCTCGTCTACTTCGGGGACGACTACGCAATGACTGCAGTGACGGGGCGGTCAGGATGGCACACCGCTCGGACAGATATTCGCCATCCTCTCGAGCCGCCCTCAAAATGGCAAAGGGTACCAGGTAGAGCGAGCTATCCAGCACCAGGATCAACTCTCTTCTGCCCTGTCGACTGGCGTTTGCTCCTCCCGCGGGCAGTAGATCATCGAATGGAGCCAGCAGAAGATTGTACAGGGTGTG